CTATAATATAATAGTTGATTTCTATGAAATCGTGTTACTACGGTAGAATAAATTGACCGCAATGACATGTTTTCATTGTTAATCTATAAAACCAAAAGCTGTGGACATTTACAGAACTTGTTGGGTTATTCAAACGTTGATTTGACGTTGATTATCAAAAATATATGCATAACAATATTAGGTAGTCGTTTGTGAATATGAAATAAATATTGCTACAATAGAGCGAACATATATTTTTTCGAATACAGATCTTAAAATATGTTCTGATCCGTCAACGAAATTCCTCAAACAAAATACTTTCCCACGGGCACTAGGTCGTTTAATTAATCTATACATTGCATTGAATCAATTGAGTTTGGAACATCAATTCTCAGTAGGCTTTTTTTTTGTTGTTTTTGTTTCCTTTATTTTTTCTACCGTCAATTCAGTGTATACAGTATGTATGTGTAGCAGATAAATTGCTGGCGTATTCTCGTTTCGTCTTGGCAGTAATTAACAAAGAAACCGCCAGCGTGTATGAGGTATGATAATATGTGTTGTTATGTATTTTTTTTTATCGGCTACAACGACAAGGCGCATCTTGTTGTACTGGGTAGAGATCTTTGAACCTGACGAAAAATCGGTTTGGCCTTTGGGCACCTGCATTCTTTGCGTCTGCCCCCCTTGCGGTCGGCTCTCATTAGACCGACGAGGACGAGTTGCCTCCGGTGGCATATACTCATACACACACACGCGCGCGCATATTATTATGATTCACTGTGGCCTGTGCCACGATTGCTATATAGTAGTCACGATGAGAAGTGTATGAACGAATATATGCGACGACCAAGAACAGTTCATCCACAGTCCGCACAATCAACCTTTTATTAAATAATCAATCTCAATTTATATAATAAATATGCTTTTTTTTGTTTATCAGCTTAATCTTTCAATAATTATCAATTTGTTTTTTGTTACAATATTCAAAACCATTAAGATACCTACTCATCACAAAATATTATGTAACATTTAGAATTTCAAATGTTTTCCAATAAAAAAAAAATTCTTTATCGAACATTAGTTTAAATGTATATATCCTATAAATAATTTATATCCTAAATGTCTATAAATAAATTATGTATAAAAAAACCCATGTAAATTAAGCCAATAGTTTCAGAGATCAAGTAGGTATAAAAACATAATTTGTGCTGTCTCCTCCCCCCGCCTCAGGCATCCTGTGTAGCGCAATTTTGCAAAGTACATTTGAAACCAATGACCATGAACAGATCTATCGAATGACACTACAACGGTTTGTCTCGATCTCACCCCGTCGCGTCGTCGGGTTACATTCTATACATGGAAACTTTGTTAAAAGTGAAAGTTTTCCTACACAACACCAAATTTGCAAACGTATTCATTCAAAAAAATATTGATAATGGATATAAGGATTATTAGGGTTGGGACTTCCAAAATCTATTTCTAGTCATGAAAAAATACTAAATACATGTCTAATTGAAATTAAGTACGAAAACAAATGTTTGGAAACATTACCGACCGAAAAAAAAAATTACAAAATTAGAAAAAATTAAAATATTTGGACTTTTTTAATTGTATAGATTTTCTCACTCAGTTTTGACTTTTTAATAAGTATTTTTAATTAAGACACATATCTAGGTACAAATTGTGTATATACTCCTTCTTTGCCTTATTTCATACAAATGGGGTCGTAAAATTATATAAATCGTGTACAGAATGAATATTATAAATATTTAGATAAATTGGAAATAGAATTAAATATAAATTAGAATATAGGTATTTATAAAAATACAAATTTTTGCTGTCCATCCCTAGGTACAATAATTATTAGTATTATAATCTCAATTGTTAAACACTTAGATATTGAATGTTGAGTTTTTATAGGTGTACAAAAAAACATAACTAAGCCGGGATTTACCACTTGTATGAATTGGTAAGGAAAATTCAAAAAAGGAGCCCATGCCTCTAGAGTGTAGTACCTTCTTCCACTTATGGTACTACTCTAGGTACCTACACTTTTTTCACAAGATTCATTATGTTGAAATTCAATATGTTTTCGATCACGATGTCCGAACAGAATAAATTCGTATGCATCCGTGCACATAATATATATTATATAGAGTCGTTTTTATTATTATAATATATTTTGACAGGGGTGGAACGTGTAATTTAAATTCCAAAATATTCCGTCGGGCTATCATTTGGTTAGTTAACGTTTGACGGAAGCTGTCCGCCGAGCCGTGGCACACTAGTTTTTCGTTGAGTAAAAATAATAATAGTGCACATAGTTTTATTTTTGTATAATACCTATAGTGTGTAAGGAATGAACGGGTTATTTAGGTGCGGATGATTCCGTGTAATATACAACGCGTTTGAAGTTGTCGATAGTCCGACATTAAAACCGTCAATTATTATTTTCTACTTGTAGGCTACCCAAACGGAAATGGGCAAAAATACAAAGACAACTGATGGGAACAGGGTCAACGCGGCACGTCGTTTGCAATGGTTATACTATATATGCCTTGCCGGCATAAACATCAGCCATACGGCATACCCGAAGAAAGTGCGACTTGAAGAAAGAGCCATGAGAGTTCGGTTAGAATGCAAGATTATAATAATAATAACAATATTACCCGCGTCTGTGAGATGACAGACCGTATGGAGTGAAAGGACTTGGCCGCGACTCCTGATAAGGCAATAAAGCGCCGTAGAGCATATATAAGTCAATTCTTTGGATCTGTGATTTCTAAACAATGCAATTAATTTCAAACTTGTTGTTTGCCTTGCGCTCAATGCTATACCTACGGTTATTCTGGAAATCTCGTATTTTGACGTTTTCTTAAGAATTGGATCTAAAGCGTTTCTTTAGAGAACAGAGTAAAAATCATATACGATTTACCTACCTAAATTCTAAAAAAAAATGTTTTGTTACCAATTAGTGTATTTGAAATGCTCAATTCATACATTTTTATAAACCAAAATTGTATAAACTATACATAAAGATATCCACCATCAATTTGTATGTGTGTTTAGCTTCGAAGCCTACACTGGACTCAGACCCAGAAATTCGCAATATAGCGTTTGTCGGTGATAAATGACTTGAAAAATAAATAGCCACCTTGACCCCACTGACGTAACGTAATGGTTTATTCTGTGCACTGTGCAGGCTTACTTGGAAACCTTTTTCGTAACTTCAGCTCCCAATATATAACAAATGTATATTTTTACCAATTACAAAAAGAACTGTCCTCGAGATACTCCTATAATTTTTTTTTCTATTCGTATGCATGTATATTGTACATAACCTGACACTGGCTGACGGATATTTCAGTCACGAGGCTATTCGATGTTTACACAATGTGTCAATTTAACATGCAACGGAAAAACATATATTTCTATAGACGGTTACAATCAATATTCAGCGAGGTACAATATGGCGTCAGGTATTAAAGCTGAACATCCGTTCTACGTTATCGTTTATCATCAATGTACATGCATTATGTAATGAACGATAGGTTTTTATTAAACCAAAAAATACAATATAATCTTTTGGACTATACACTACCCCTTTTTTAATCCTGATATCGTGCGACTGTCGAGATAATACTGTAATTAAAATAATTGGGTTAAGCAAGGAATCACCGATATTACTTTATTGATAAAGACATAGAGTGAATACTTATTATAGGTATATATTAACAATAATATCAAGTTATATTTAAGTATAAATATGATATTTTTGGTTTTAAACGAAAACTTATTTTATCAAATGAATATCACAGCGAAATCAGCTTTAGTTTTTGAGGAAAATTCTGTTGTGAGGCCTTCGTGTATTTGCTTTTTCGGCATCTTATAACTTTTTACAATTTTATAAGTTGGGTGTGGAGAGGTTTCAGGATTGATGAAATCATTTCTCTGGCTTCCTACACGAGTCCTGTCGGGGGTGCCCCCAGGATTCATTTATGTGAAATAAAATAAAATAATTGTCGTTTGTACGGTTGGTTGATAGTGCGGCTAGATTGTATTAACTTATCTTGTACTTAAGTTATGAACGGGAAAGTAACCGCACGGACAGAGATGTAGAGACGATTTTGTGCATTTTTTTTTGATTGATCGGAAAACGTATTTTGTTTTTTTGTTTTTGACAGTCCTGTAGTTTGACCAATAAGTTCTTAGCCGGTCGTTAATTTATTACACGCGTTCAAACCGAGATGACTGGTAAAAGACAAATGATCTACAATGGGGCACACAACAGCGCGATGTGCTCGCCGTTGGTTGAATAAATGGCAGTCCTATGACAAATAGAGTTGCTATATATTATATACACACATATACTCGAACGTAAGTGCTTTATAAATCGAACATTTGTTTTATCGCCGTGTTGAACCAAGGAAAGAAAACACGTACCTACGGGAAACCGTTTCTATAAATCATTTCGGTTGGCCGAATACTGTTCGAGGAAATTTTATAAATGATTTGTGAGATACCTACGATACTACGATCTCCGTTTGGCGTTCGGGGTACGAATTTTAACGTTAAACATCCAGGTTTAAATTCCCAAGGTCCCACGCATGACCGAAACGTAAGAATATAATTTAAAATAATAATCGAAAACCAGAGAAATCTATGTGTAAAACAAAAACACACCATATCCGTACCGTCAGTGATCGTCCTAAAAAAGTCAAATTTTTAACTAAGCGATAATGACATAAGTGTATTTTTTTAGGTTTTACAGAAACGGTGTTTGAAAATTCATAATGCCATTGATATACATTACACGTATTTAATACACTTCTGAGTCCTCTAACAATAAAAATATGAATCACTGGGTTTCAATATTTGTTGTAGGAGGTTATAAGGGATCTATTGCTCTATACACGACGAAATTTCCAAAAATAGTGCACTTATAACATTATGCGATCGATATTTTGTTTTAGTTTTCACAGGGTAGTGATTGATATGGATTATTGTTTTTCGTTTTACAGGTGGGCGTCGCAAGGGAAGGATGACCCATGCAGGCCGTTTGTCGCCAGTGATATGCCCGCTGGCGAAGTTGGGACGGTCGTCTCCAGGCTCGCTAGAGTTCACGCCGTCCGCGCGGAACGGTTCCTATTGTCCGTACACCGTGCTCGAGGCCGAGACTAGCTTCACGTACAGTCCGACCACGTTGCGGTGCAGTTCGCCGTCCCTGGACCAAGGATACCACACCCTGGTGACGGGCGGTGGCGGTGGCGGCGGCTGTGACGTTGTCGTCGGTACCAACCCGCCGTCGTTGCAGTCCACCGCCACCAAGCACAGGCGGTCGCAGTCTAGGACCACCGTCGGCTGCTACTTCGATCGACTGCGCGATGAGCTGATGCTCAAGATATTCTCGTACCTCGGCAGCGCGGATCTTAGCACTTGTGCCGCCGTGTGTCACAGATGGGAGAACCTCGCGTGGGAGCCAGTCCTGTGGCGAACCATCGCGCTGTCTGGCGAGAACACCTGCGGCGACAAGGCGGTCAGGTGCGTGTTGCGCCGGCTGTGCGGCCGGACCCGGACGGGCGCGTGTCCGCAAGTGCAGCGACTGTTCCTCAGCGACGGCACGAAAATCTCCGACAAGGGTCTGATCGCGTTGGCCCGGAGGTGTCCGGAGCTCACGCACGTCCAACTGCACGGCAGTCCCAACATCACCAACGCGGCCATATCCGAACTGGTCACTCGGTGTCCTAACCTGCAGCATTTGGACGTTACCGGTAAGTAGGCATTTATGGTGTAGGAAAAATAGTAACAACGGGGGAGAGCTTGGGATACTAACCTCCTCCAGATATAATTTTAGACCCCACCTCCCCTAAGCTAACCAAGTTGGACAAAATAAGGAACATTACTCTTTCGAAGGGATGATAAGTTTTTTTGTCATCTCCTTTCGTTGTCGGCCATGCCTCACGTCCACATACCTCAATATAAGCCGTAGATATGAAATGTTTAATCTTGTATTTCATTTTCTCGCTATAGTAAACTTAGGACTAAATAATACTACTTACTTAAACAACTTAAATAGTAGTTCTGCCTGACTAGAGTGGAAAAAGTCTGGCGCCGGATGTACTTCAGTTAAAACGTGTAAAGAATTCAATCGGAATTCGCCGGTCTTATGACGTGCCCGAAACAGGTGTCCGGGCGTTTAAGTCGCCGTAGCCGCCTTGTTTTGCATTTTTACAATAATTCAAAACCGGCCGGTAATTTAATTAAAAAACTGCCAAAAAGAACACCGCTTCATATGTATGCATGTATGCGTTTGTTGTGCATTGATAAATGTGGTGTACCTAATCATTTATGTTTTACACACTGCAGTGCGGCCAAGCTTCCTCTCCTCCGACGTGCGAACGTCTATAGTTTATAATAACAACGACAACAACACTGGCAACTCGTCGCGGTCATACATAATATTATATTTGTCGGCAATTGTGATTCACGGAAAAGCCTCGGACGCGCTTACAACGTTCTTCTTTGCCTCCGTCGTTAAAGGATATAAAAAATTACCTTATTTTGTGCATTTTTTCCTTGAGTTTTTTTTTCTACATCGTCAGACTGAATGCATCTCCGTTACATAACCGTACGATCGCGTGTGAAACGGCTTAATGGACGAATAATAAAATATAAAAAGTCACATGCGCTTAAGTTTAATAATAATACATTCTATTCTTTATGGCGCGAGTTCCCTCCGTCGGACATGAGTTGGCGGCGCCAATCGTAGTATTAATTATTATTAATAGAACAGTTGTTCTGTGTGTGTGTGTATGTTAAGCCTACATACACACGCACACATTTGTTGACGTTTGTCATTTCATAACGTTAATAAAAGAAAGTTTTTTTTTATTTTGTAACCTTTCCCGAAAATCTTAATTTGACTTTTGACCACGTCACAGGCTTATAAGTCCACCGGAGTTTACTTCCATCATAAAATATACATAAATATGTATTATATTATGTTGCTAGATCACGGCGGACGACGCCAATTAGTACTCCAAGCGCGGTATAATATTATTATCATGATTGTACTGTTGTAATACCTATAATAATGATATTGTTGTTGGTTCATAAACAATAGGAGGCGGACTGGGCGGCCAAAAGGCTAGTGGGCATGGATATAGGGGCGCTGCTGTTATGGCATGCATAAAAAACGGTATATTATAATATATTAAAGTGTCCCGAGGCAAAACAAATGATTATGTTTTAAAACGCAGATGAGCATTGATACTAGGTACAAAATTTATAATTTTCGTTTTTCAGTTTTTTTTATAATACCTAATAATAAAAAAAAATCTGTTTTAGTAGTTTGGTACATATTATCAAATATCGTAATTCATAAAAAAACTAACTTATTAGCCATTTAATAATTATATTTTTTGAGACAGTTCATAATACGCAAACGACTTTGGCATTCGAGTAGGTATATGATTTTTTTAGTGCCACTTGTAATTTATTATGTTATCGTGGTATGTAGTTAGTATTGTTAATAATACCATGTTAACAATTCAAATGGGATAGGGACGAAGCTACTGTTGTCGTCAGCGGTATAATTATTTTGTTTATTTGACCCAAATTTATATATTTTTTATATTATAAATAATATTTGAATCGTTATGGCGGTCCGGATTAAAAATCGTCGACTACAGAAACCGGTATATAATAAAAAAAGAAAAATGTGTTTATTATTGAATGAATCGAACGGGAAATATGTATTTAGTTTGAGGCTTTTGGTCCTCCGGCAAATTGTGTTCATAGAAACGGATAAACAATATAATATGATATATGTATATTATACAAGGCGTGTATAGATAATTCTTTAGATTTCGTTGGAATGGCCTGAAAATAAGTGTCGGCCTCGGCCGTTGTACTTGCCATGTTCAACATAGCAAACTATATATATATATATGTATACATGTACTATATTTATAAACTATAAGCACACTTAGGGGCGTGTGATGTCTGTCGAGTTATATGATGTCGCTAAGATTATTGTTTGGCGTGTACTATAATAATAATTATTATTTGCAAGAATACTGATATAATATATGTATACCTTGTCTATCCATCTCCGGTCTGTTATGCAAATGCACCGCGAGTATTTCGCAAACCAATATGTATATGTAAGTTTATTATCAATGTTATATTACATTGCGGACCGGTCGACGCTTTCGGCTATCGCCCACGTGAATATATATGTATAATAATATTAATAAAATTCCGAAGGACTTTATTCGTTATTGTAATAAATATATATTTATATATATATATGTCAACATAACATATGCGTCTGCCACCGCTATAACGATAAACATACCTAAAATAATATTAAATTATACTCAAGACGAAAACTCTGCAAAAATAGAGCACTTGTTATTCTTATTTACGTCAAAAAAATTGTTTTTTTGTTTATTATTATACGTTCTGATTTTTAATGTGTAATATTTAAAAAAAAGTGGTTTTAATATTATAATATTATCGAATAAAATTGTGTAAACCAATTACCAATTATTTAAGATTATAAATTATAAATTAGGTCAAAAAAACAGTAAATAAACCGGTATTTCAACTGAAAAATGTGTTAATTATATTTTGTTATTAGTGATTTAAATAAAGATTACCAGGTTTTGCATAAACGTTTCAATGTTTTCTAAACTATTTTATTTTCAATAATATATGTAATTAAGTTGTGTTGTATAATATATGTATCTAAGTTAATTTTCTATTCAGACTTAGCTTATTAGTCTATGTTATATAATATACATATATCATTGTTAATTGTACATTTGTTCGTATTATTTAAAATTTTAATTAAATTAATATATTACAATAATTGTGCAACACTGTCACGTTTTGCATACTTTTTTTAAAAAACATTTCTTCGCTTCTTGGGGTGTCAGAGGACAGCTGGTTTTTTCCGAGAAATCAGCAGTAACACACCGACTTGGCGCGAAGCTCCGTTACCAGATAGGTTGGGCCAGATAAATTATTTCATTACCTATATTGCTTGCTAAACTGCACCGGCAAGCATTTACACTGCACACGGTTGTAATTATAGTGCGTTCACAGTCGGCACTTTCATTGCGGTCGCTGCGACACACGGTTGTAACCATAAAAATATTATGTATAAATATTGTGTTTGACCAGGGGCGCGATCAACACAAAGTGTACATTATAATATACTTCACGATTAGCCTAGGTATGTTATTATTAATATATTTATACATATAATATTAAATTATCATGTCGTAAACGCCGTTGACATTTCACGTGTGTACACGCCCCGTTTATAGCCGGTCGCGGCTCGTGTGATAATAATATTTCAATCGGCTCTTGTGAGTTGTGTCGATAAAAACATTTCAAAAAAAAAAAAACTATCCGCGGAGAGAGTTTTACAGTTATGGGCTCGCAACGGCCGCAGGTCAAGCGAAATAATAATATTATTATTATATTGTAATATACATGATATTTACCTCCTTTGGGGGGGTGGGTTAACACGGACGTGGGCCGAGAACTAAGTATAATATAGTGTATATATGGCCAACGGTGTTGGATAGCTGATACAGATACTCGTCTTATGCCATACGCAGCACGCATAATAAATCTGTATTTTATACAGTTTATCCGAGTCGAATGGCACGCCGTTCTTGCTATCCAAATGCTGCCCAATAGGAATGGAATAGAAATTTCCGATGAAAGTACTATTCATTTTTTTTTTAAACAAGAACCGAGAAATACATTAACTAGGAGTCCGAATCTAGCGACATTTCTGAGGCCAGATTCGGGATTCAGCGAAAACCCATTAAGCGAATTTACTCATAGCTGTTATCAACAGTCACGGCTCTAACTTTGGGAGTGTTGAGCTTAAACAATCTGTAACATTTGTTATATGGTTTTTCTGACTGTTTTAGACCAAAATCTTTGTACAAGTTCGACTTCTTAGGTTAGTTGCTACGAAATTAATTCTAATTCAGTAAAAAGAAATATGGTGATTTCGCTAGCCTCTTCACTAGATCCGTTTTCTTGGTATTATAAAAAATATGTTGGCACATTATTAAACACTAAAATGGAACTTTTTACCCTAAAGAAAGAAAAATCCGATGATCTCGTACTATTTTACAGAACTCAAAATCTGACCATCAGACATTTTGTATATGATATGACAAAAAAAAATAAACCATTACTATTAACACACAATACAATTATGTTGGACGCGATTTATTGAGAATTATACCGTTTGTTTTTGTGTTTGCAGGTTGCGTCAAAGTGTGTACCGTCGGGGTGTACAGCCGGCCGGAACCTTCGCTGAGGCTTTGCCTTCAGTACTTGGACCTAACCGATTGCCATCTTGTGGACGACGCCAATTTATGCGTCATCGTCAGCAATTGCCCTCAACTGGCCTACTTGTACTTGCGACGGTGTACGAAAGTCACAGGTAATATCATAACCGAATGTCTTCTATCGAGCCCCTGTAATACGTTTATACAATCCGGCATATGAATTGTGTCTTAACTTTTCTATAGAAAATATTATAACAACTGGTAAATTTTGGCGGGACGCAGTCTATATGATAAATAATTCAGAGTGGTTCTTTTAAATGTTTGTTGAAGATATTTTGTGTTGAAGTCCTGCAAATCGATTTGAAATAATTGTTATAAAAATACTATAACATTTTTCGAGATTTGTATTTGTTCATTTGCTTATGTCAGAAGTTAAATTTAAATCCAGTTATGATCCCAAACAATTATTCAATTTAGTTTTATTCGATGAAGTTTACTTTTAAAGTTAATTACAAAACCATCATTCATACTTAATTTTTTAAATTCCAAAAAAAAATAATCTTTTTTATATTTAAGAAAATTGTTATAAGTAATATAATTGTTATAAAAATTCAGATGTGTTTGGGGAAGAAAAATTCACCTAATATTATTACTTTACAAGCTATATGAATGAGACCAAATCAGGGAAATAAAGAGATCCGTATAAAAATCTTAATAATTAGTATACTCGTTTTGTAAGAAGCTGATGTAAAGTAAAAATTAACAAATACTCTTATATATAATAATTATCTGTGGGTTTTTTTGTAAATCCACGTTATCAAATTGCAATTTATAATAGTAATAATTTAATTAGTGAAAATTATTTGGCGAAATAGGTATCTAGCGGTAATGATTATTGGTGTAGTATACATATGATTTGTTACAACAACAACACACATGGTATACAATAACGGTGTTAAAACAGATTAAATATATAAATTATTATAGGTGTATATATATATATAATAAACGGTATTGACCGTGCTTGTCGTTTACTTTTAGCCATTCAGTGTCCATAATTTACACTGTAATAATAATATTACCATACGTACAAACTATGTAGGCTCTTGTGTCGGTAGCGTTTATACCTCATGAGAATTTTTTTTTTTTTAGTTTTGCATCCATAATATTATTATATACCTACGCGTTTAGGTATCGTTAACGACTCTGAGTGGTGGACATTAATAAACGCGACGGGTAGATATACCTGGGCTAACCTAACCTGTATATTGGCTATATCCAGCTGGTAATGCTGGACGCAGCCGGTATTTTTATGTAGGGGAACGCGGAAGACGAGCATGTTTAGCACTAACGGATATAGATATTAATTATTTTAGTATATACACTATATTATGTACAATGTTATGTCATTGATACCGCACACACGAAGGACCCGTGGGCGCCTGAAATAGGTATAATCCATTTTGATAACCCACTTAAAAATTGTTTAGGCCGAACAAGCATAATAATATGTCGTTTCACCTGGAACCGCATCCGCAATGACGTTCTCGTTGGTCCTCTTTCTAAATTCATGTACCATCACAGATAAATTCATGTATAATAAACTAGATTGCCAACTAGTAATAAGAATTGAAGTCGAAGTCCTCCATTTTTGTGTGTATAAAATAATATTATATTGTACACTTGTTATTCTATGTTATCAAATTAATTTATAATTTGTATAAACATACGATACGGTTCTAATTCTCACAAAGATGGCGGAAAATGGTAACTTCAATTATCTCTATTGGCGGCATGTACTACATTGTACACTTGTCAATCTAGTTTATTATATTATATAGTATGAAAGTTTCAAGTCGCTAGCTATCATAGTTTAGGCTGTGCGTTGATTATGAATCAGCCAGGACTTCTTATTTTATATATATATAGATATATAGCTGTGTATACTGTACAGTGTGATTATTCTAAAATCGCCAAAGTATGAAAAACAATTTCAAAAAGCTAACAATTTTTTGGTTTTTGTAATAATTTTGAAATGTTTTAGTTGTGTGTCGAATGGTTGTCGATATATAATTGTTAATACTTTTAAGATTGGAATATTTTTCTCTGCAATTGGATATTCTTGGGAGTTCGAATATACTCATTGACCTTAAAAGGTATGATAAGAAATAAAATATTACCAGACGTGAGGTTCTGAAACACAATGAATATTATCGTATACAGTTGTCAGTAAGTATATTACTATCACTTCAACAAAGAGTCCATAACCATTACACAAATTTTCTAGTGACAAAATCCGCCTTTCTAAAAGATTTATTATACTTCCCAAAAAAAAAACCTGACTAAATCAATTTACAATCGCTAGCTAGGTGGCCCTACTTTTTTATTATATCTTAATGTATGTATAAACTATAAATTATAATACAGGTATTAAAGTCTGATGAATTATTTCTTCCTTTATTCAGTGACGAGATTTAAATGGGTACACCTAATTATTTCAGAACAAAAATATAATAAAGCGATACAAACTGCGGTTAAACTGTGTTTCATAGAGATGTGGTAGTTACAATTTCGAGTTGGGCGTTTAAAAAGACATTTTTGATTATTTCTTAATAAAAAAGGAGGTTTGACTGCGCAGAATAATTTGTTTATGTAACAAGACCGCATGAGATCCACTTAAAATGTATATTTTTCAGAACTCAAGTTTAAAGAATACACCTAAAAAGTGAAATAAAAAACCAAGAGATTATTGATAAGATAACAGCTACAAACTTATTTTGGCTTCAGTATTGCCTTACTATGAATTCTTAGGTTGGGCATAGAAATTAAATAAAAATAATTACCTTATGAGTAATAATTTAGATGTGACTTTTTGTCAGAGCTTGACTGTAACAATAAATTATAGAAAGTTGGCTCTAAGCTCAGAGCTTGTAAAGAAGATAGAAAATATAATATTAAAATTTTAAAAATAAATTATTAAAATTTTTTACTACTAAACGAATATTGTCATTTTCGGCTATTTTTCTTTTCACACGCAGATCTCCATCAATATTATTGTTGGTGTAATTCGGTCGGCGAGTGAATTCCACAGGTGAAATCTTTTCAATCCGTTTCCGTTGAAGATGAGCCGGACCGGACAAACGAATATTTTGTCGTGTCGCGGAATGCCATTTTTGTGCCTACTCGCGCGTGTGTGTGTACAACGTATTACATTAATATTATTATAAGTAGTGAGCCGTTTATAATATACACAACGAATTCCTGGAAATCCGGTTTTAATTCATTAAGACACTTTTTATTTGTGCGCGTGTGTCTGTGTGTGTGTGTTTTTATTCATAATATAAATATAAACATATTATATTATACTTGTATATTGTATTTTGTGTGTAACGCGAGTGTGACACGGAACAGTGTGCTATCGTTTTTATTGCTGTCTTTCTCCCTTCGTACGTCCAAAGATAGCTGATGCAAATGCAGTCTTGGCGTTTATTTATTTTATTATTAGGTAGGTATGTGGTGTCTCTTCGGTCGGTAAATTTACCGGAGTCGCTGTCGCCATGCTAATGGCTTTTTACGAATAAAACCGCCTGCGATTAAAAAACTATATATATATATATATATATATAGGTAACGTAAAAATAAATAAATGTTATATATTTTTTTTTACCTTACCTACATCAAATAATCAACAAAGCTTTTATACGTACATACTACTTTTGTGCATACTATTATTTAAGAGGAGTATATATTATATGTATAGGAGCACGCTAATTGCTTAAAAGTTATACAGGATGTAAAGCTGACCAACTATTATTTATTTCCTTTTTTTTGTATATAGTTTTTAGGACATGAGGTCCGAAAATGCTAACGAAGTTAGATCTTATTAAAAATTTGTAATGAAAATATTTTGTGATGTGTAATATTTCTTTTTATGTTATACCGCTTAAATTTTTTTTATTTTTATACGAGTTGTAAAAACTTGAATTAAACATTAAAAAATAATGTCCACAGTACTTGAAATTAATATGTAAATCCGTTTACGTGTAGACAACTATAGCTTAGAAGTTAGAATAAACAAATCGCTGGTGTTCTGAAGTGGAATAATTTATACCGAATTATCTTACAAACAAATCTACTACTATTTATTTAGATAATTATGAAGTTAGGTAATTGTGTGATGACTTTATTACAATCATAAACTCGACCTAAGATACATATTATAATTATTCGATCTACAATCTACGTTCTATAATATTATTCCTGTATAACCTGTAATATAACCTGTGTACCTATACCTGTATTGAGATCTACTCTAAAATAAGTATTATAAATTAAGTCAATATTTACACACCCCTCCCCCGAGAAGAAGTCTTAATTAAGTTGATATATCTAATTGTTGTTTTAGATGTCATGCCTAGTAATAATGTTTGTTTTTTTTTTTTGTTTTTCCAGATGCCGGCATTAAGTTCGTGCCCAGTTTCTGTTCCGCCCTGAAAGAGTTGAGCGTGTCCGACTGCCACCAGGTAACCGACTTCGGACTGTACGAGTTGGCTAAACTGGGCGCGCTGCTGCGTTACTTGTCGGTGGCCAAGTGCGACCAGGTGAGCGACGCCGGGCTGAAGGTGATTGCGCGCCGCTGCTACAAGCTGCGGTATCTGAACGTCAGGGGTTGCGAGGCCGTCAGCGACGACGCCATCACCGTGCTGGCCCGGTCGTGCGCGCGGCTCCGGGCCCTGGACATCGGCAAGTGCGACGTCAGCGACGCCGGTCTGCGGGCGCTGGCCGAGAGCTGTCCCAACCTGAAGAAGCTCAGCCTGCGCAACTGTGACCTGGTCACCGACCGTGGCATCCAGCTGATCGCGTACTACTGCCGCGGTCTGCAGCAGCTCAACATACAAGACTGTCAGATATCCGTTGACGGGTACAAGGCGGTGAAGAAATATTGCAAACGGTGCATCATCGAACACACCAACCCCGGGTTCTTTTAATCGGCCGTCTCGTCACCGTGCCATTTCCGGTTTGGACAGAGTTGCCGAAAAAAACCCCGTCGAACATATTTTGGTGTTTGCCCAAAAATATGGGTTTATAGGCGTGCCCTCGAAAACTTCACCGGGTCGAAGTTAATGAAAAAAAACCCGCGTTTTGCCAACTCTGAATTAGATAAGAATCCTTCGGCGGACCTCCGATTGCGCCACCGATATCTACACCGTGATCAGTCATTGTAACGGTATATACAACTCATCATAAGACTGTGAACACAAAACTTTGATATACCTTATTATATGTTAAGCGTTAGTTTTATATTCAGCACAGCGACTTGCTGAAGACCAAAAATATTTAACACCAAATTGCTACTGTCGACTACTCTAAATAGGTATTATATATAACATAGCATTAATTTAAACGTGGCCATTGTTAAGTATCATACTATTGTCTAATATTTAACTATGTTGTTATAAATTATAAACATTTATTTTTATATTTTTACATCTATGTAAAATTAATCACACGCGATCAACATGCCAAATCGTTTAATCTTTAAAATTTTATTTTTTACTATTGTCACCAAGTCTGATCATTGTTCAAAACTTTTATAATAATATAGTTAACATACCGTTATTTCTGAATAATATTAATTCGATACAATTCTGTACTTGTTAGAAAAAAAATTACAACACTGAATATTTACTTTAAATTGTGTGTAAATGATGATTTATGTCAATATGTTGTACAGTTCTGTTATTATACGTTTAAAATATGTGTATATATTTTATATAACAATGTTTAAGCTGTTGTTGTTTTCAATTCTGTTATTTTGTATTTATAGTCATCACATGTGTTTAACTTGCCCTAAAATACATGATTTCCAATACAACAAGAGTCAATAACATGGATAGGGACAAAATTAAGTGCTAACCAACACGACCGATTACACTTGGCCAATTATAAACGCAAGTGGGTCAAATAAATACATTTAGACAGAAATAATTTCTGCGTATTTTATAGGAAATAATTAAAAATTTGTTTTTGCGCTTAAAATTTATATATATATTTGTTAAATTACCGTGATTTAAAAATGAAAAAAAATACAAATCTTAACGCTTTTTATAAACACAAGGTTTTAATTCCAAAAGGGGTAATTTCTTTTTTAGCGCCGTCTTGCTGATGTCGTGAGTCTTTTTCAAGTCCATGAAAACAAACATATCGTTTGATTTGTCAATCTTGACGATTTCGAACCCATACTTGGTCAGCTGATTGGCGAAATTGTTGATATCGTCAAATCGACTTTCGACCTCCGCTATTTTCATCAAACCGCTGAGGACAAATTGTAGGCATATTAGAACTACGTAACGGGGTCCAGTGCCGGTTATTTATAATATAAATTTTATATTGTAAGAGTTAAAAAACCATTGCAAATATTTTATTAAAAAAAAAAAAAATTACTACACAAGAAAATTGTCAGATTTTTTATTTTTATGTCAATAATATTGTACAGTTAGCTCAAATTGTTAATTTTCAACAAAATGATAATTAACCTCAGGGGAAAATTAAATCCTAATTTGAGTATTTTTTAAAAGGTATCGAAATTAAACAAAACATATATTTTCATTTTACGGTACTAACTAATATGAAAATAATATTAACTTTAAAATAAAAAAAAATTTGGGAGAAATACAAGAATTTAGCAAGTGAACAAAATTCCTATTTTTGTTGAACATGTTTCGGAGTAAAAAAAAAATACTTACTCAACTTTTAGAACCCTGTTGGCTTCTTTGATGAATGACTGCAAGTTTGTGCCCATCAAGGACAGACAAAATACAGCTACGTCAACGGACGCATTAGCTAGACTGGTGTGGGCCATATCTCCAGCGGTGACGAATTTATTTACCGCTATTAAATCGAACGAATGTATTTTGTTTTCGGGAAATGTTCGAGCGAGATCAGCGTCCCCGCAACCGAAATCTGCCACGACAACAGGATTGTCTTTTTTGGATTTCTTAAACCTTCAAGAAAAAATTAAAAAAAAAAAACGATTAAAAAATTTGCAAATAAATTATTAGAGAAAATGCACAAAATATTATAACATGCATTTTTAAATATTATACATCAATACAAAATCTTCTTAGAAGCTAACATTTAAGTAAATCTTATTTTACAAGTAATGTTTTCATTAAAAGTAATTCACGACAAATCATACGTACAAAGAAGTGAGTTGCTTGATTATAACATCCAACGGCTTTACTGGCCACTGTTTCACTTGCTGCATGTAACCGTTGTGGTAAGCCTTGAACGCATCAGGTTCTTTTTTAAAATATGTCAGAGCGTCTTGGCTTGTGGATGAGTAGAATTGTTCGTTCAAGTAGCTACAATTACATTTAATAGATTTAATACCGATTTTAAATTTGTGAAATTTACTATGTAAAGTCAAGTGTAATTATATCATACCGAAATCTCGCGCTCTTTAACTTGTCTTTCATTCTCTTAATGAACGACGTCGGAGTTTTGTCTCCATCGACCTTTTTCTGAGGCCGATAAAGACTAGACGTAGAATTTATCGGCGCTCCTTTATAGCTTACGTTAGTCAATTTCGTCAAACTATCCAGAGTGCCTGGCTGTTCCGTAGTTGTTTTAGGCTTTTTAGTATTACTTTTCAGACCCACTTCAATTAAGGCTTTTTTCGATATTTTCTTTTTCTTTTTGCCTTTTAATTTTTTATCAGACAGTCGGTTTATTTTGTTTCTCTTAATTTTATGTGTTTTACTAATAGCAGATAACACTTTTGCAACGTTTTTTTTATTATTCGTTTTCATTGTGATAAATACGTTTTATACCACTATGAAGCGTTATTATCGTTACTCTGTTGAATGTCTAATTGCTGTTGTGCAATATCAGAAAGAGCGGCCTGTATCTGTTCTAAAAGATGTTCTCCTTTGCGTACGACTTCTTCCAACCGTTCAGCAGCTACTTGATTTTCTTGCTCTAATCTTCTCAGACTCGCTACCTGAATGAATTCATGTACAAACCGTAAATAATTTAATAAGTCACAGAAAACTTTTTAGGTATAATATACATACTTGCAATTCTGTGGACGTGTCGTCGTTGGGTAACGATTCAATTAACGCATCAATATCTTTGGCGCAACGAGTAATAAGCGAAGAAAATAGACTTGTGTAATCTGAAATAAAACCATATAACCAATATAATTTTCAAAAGTATTTTCGGTGATTCAAGTACTACCTACCTTCTTGTTGTTGAGGAGTTTGAGATCCGTTACGGTCAAAATTTGAAAACTTGGATGGAACAGCACACTGTTGCAAAATTCCAATGCTGTTGCAGAAATGATCCGCTTGCTGTAATACCAATAATATTTAACAATTATATTAAACAAAATTATAACAACAATAATCATAAAAATAACTCATAACCATATTGTTGGTATCCATAAAAGAAAGTCCTCATTAAAAAACTAAAACTACATTTTTATGGCAACCCTCCCCTCACACTAAGAGGCCAATAAAATAGTCCATATTGAATTTTTAGAAAACAAATTGCGTTAAGTAAACAAATATAAAGGAAACATTTTAAACTGATCTTGTGAAAAATTAACATTTTGTACTTAAAACATTTATAAATTAAGCCAACAATTTTAAAAATTGGTCACAAAAACCAGGGAAAAGTATTTTTCTCAAAGCCATACTGTGATATTCAGAAAATCCGCCAGATAACATTATACATATTTTAATATTGGTTGAATAAGGATTTTTAAATAACACTTTTGAGAACTGTAACATACCTGGTTAACGATGTCTTGGAGTTGAGTCAGACGATCGGCCATTTAGGCTGATTTCGACAAACACATTTGACCGAAGATGTTACGGAATTCGGAATCAATGGATAGACTACTGACCATAGACAAGTGTGATACTGACTGGTGTAATCAGATAAGTATGAAACAAAAATACTCGACAACCAACGGGTCAAAATCAAAATAGAATAAAGTTGAAATTTGAATAATTAATAGTGGATAGATGTATTACATGTGTGTTGAATGCGACGGACAAGCGTGTGTGAACTGTGAAACTAGCAATTTGTGATAACGATTTTCCGTATAGACCGCAGTGGTTACCGACTAGTTACCTAAAATATACCATGATTTCTACCGCTAGAGGCCGCATCATATACCGTGATCATTGATTAAATACCGACACCCAACAACGGACACTCGGTATCGTTCCGTTATAGCCGAACTCCCGGAGCCCGCACTGCGCACAGCCCCGCCGTGCCCGTAAACTAACCTATCCTGTATAAAATTTTTTAAACTTTACAAATATATAAGTTTAGTTAGCAGACTCGTTCCGGAACTTACTACTGCCTGGTCGCATTACATTACAGGACGGACAAACCGAGAATAATGAACATAGTATATGCTTACAACAAAAAAAAAATGGTTATCATGACGAAAAAAGTCAAAGGTATGTCGGCGACTCGTGATAGCCATTAAAATGGCTGCCTGTAGTCGCGTATTGACATAAACTGCAGCTCAGCTTGATGGTAATAATAATTATTGATAACGGCATGGCTAACTGGGGTTGCTACCACTTTTCCCAAATTGCATAAACTACCAATGTCTATTGACGAATTTCTTTTTAGTGGGCGGAATTCAAACTGTTAAGGACGGCAGGATACCGGGTGTTGGGCACTCTTTCTCTCCGCGTGAACAAAATTATCCTAGGATTGCAGGCTTCCGACGTCTAGGAGGAGCTTACAGGTTTTTTAAAGTTAAGATCTGATAATAAACTTGTCATTGGAAAAGACGTGTACAATGGAAAAAAATGGTCCTTGGTAACGCATGCAATTTGGGAAAAGTGGTGCTATCCCGGCAGCGGTAAGAATTCAAAGAGGTTAAGGACATGCGGTCGCTGCTGTTTGCCGAAAAACACCGATAACTCACGAACGTACGGCGAGCGTGTATTTTGACTTTTGTGACTAAATTTTTTCCTTTTCGATTTCGACTTTCGTTTCTGTTTAGATTTTTGTTCGTTCTGTTGGCCGTTTGCTCCGACCGCCGCCAGTGGTCTCTGAATATTGTTGATGTTTCTATGATTTTATTCGCATCACATTAGTGTAATTACAGATAATAGAAAAAACAACACCGAATCATCGCGCGGACGACTCAGCGCGCCCGTCCGATTTTTTTTTGGACACCGCTGGCCAACGCAGGCAACGGCAATCCGTCGTGTACCGCACAGGTAAGTCACCGGGACGTTATCAAAAAGTCGAACTTTCCGACTCCTCTGCCGCCGCCCCCGCCTCCACGACGGTAAACGTGGACGAATCGTCTTGTAGTAAAACGTGACCCCGAGTGGGGTAATGCGAATCCAATAAACGGTTTTGGCCGGCTTTTTGGTAATCGTTTAACGTTCACATGGTATAAAAACCGACCACTACTGTCGATAAACCCGGGTTTTAGAAAGCTTGGAGTTCCTAAAAAAAAAACCGACCGACATACCCAACCAGGCGGGCGTCAAAACGTGTGAACGGTGTGGTTACAGTGAGATTTTGTTTTGTATTTCAGTTTGAATAAACCGATCGATCGTCACATACAGTCGGAGAAATGGAGAAGAACGACAAGAAAAACAACGATTGTTATTTTTTCTTTTATTCAACGTGTATGAAGGTGAGTGTGTCGATCGTCATGTACAAAAAATGTACGTTATCCCATTTATTATTTGGTCTGTAGGGAGACAAATGTCCGTTTCGTCACGAACCCCTAGCGTTAGGATGCGAGATGGTTTGCAGTTATTGGCAGAGCGGAAAATGTGAAAACGATCATTGCGCGCTACGCCACATGGAATTAAAAGTATGCAATGTTCTGCTGTTTTTTTTTTATATGTATAATAATGTGTACAGTTAAATTGTATTTACTATTTGTATTACTTTGAAATGTTGCAGAAAAATAGAAAAGCTATACAGTGTTATTGGGAAAAACAGCCGACGGGATGTCGTAAGCCATTCTGCGCATTTATGCATACCAAGCCTCGCGAGACTACTGAAGATCCAGGTATGCCGGAGTAATACTGAGCCTGTATATCCTAGTCACAATTTTTTTTTTTCACTAATATTTTATCCACATCTTTGACAATATTTTCCAATTATGTTTTTATTTATTACTACTATTCGATTACCAGTGGTGGTGTGACTTCTTGTTAACTCTAAAATATTTTTTGTTTGTTATTTTGTACTACATTAGTCTGATAGCCTTAGCAATTTTTTTTTTTTAATTTAATGAATTATCTATTCTTATTTCTGTCTATTTAGTTTACGTCTATATACAGTAAAATGTATGAAATATCAATCGATAATAATACATGAAAATTATGTAATAATATTATAAAAGAAAAGTGCGATAATTTTACTAAAATCTTACACAAATGTAATACTTAAAATCGAGGATTAGATTTTATATAAGCTTCTACTCTAAATAATATAATGCTGCCATGCGGTTAAAACCGAAATCACGTGTCTTACGTCGTTTGTTTGTTTTTAAAAATTGTGTTTTATTATTATTTTTTGTACTGATACATATAAATTAGTTTTAAATATTGTGGTGTTTAATATTTTGGAAATGTTGTTTTTGGATGCGAGTCATGGTCGGTAATGGACTGAAGTTATGTCACCTGATTTTGTCTAATGTGAATATTTTGACCGACATAATTGTGAGATATAAGCGAATCGTATCTAGCAATAAAATTACTATTGTACAGCTATTTCTACTGAACATTTACTTACATTTATAAACTGACCACAAATCGACTGAGTTGGGCTGATATATATTAAATTATAAAAACATTTTTTTTTTCAATTTATGAAAAATTTGTTTATTTTTGACGATTATAGGTGGCATAAATTTTAATGGACTTATAAAAACACCAACTGCAAATTAAATTGCAACAAAACATTTTTAAATAAATTTATTTTTTGAATATATTATAATACTTAGTTTATAATTAGTAATACTTTAGTTGTTAAGAAAGTAATTATTATCAAAATATATTTTGTTAACACGTGTTTTATTAATCATGTAATTACTATATAATGTTTTCAAACAATAAAAAGTAGACGTATTTGTTAAAACTGTATGTCTTGTTCGTGAAAAATTATTGTCGATGGGTATACACCCTCTTTTCTATGTATGCGTGCACTCAAAGCGAGTACTTACGCAATCCCACTACTAGAGTACACACATTTTTGTTAAGAATTCACTCATACTTTACGCCACTGAATGTTGCCCAATGTCGTACTCTAGAAAAATATAGTTTTTGTTTATAAAAATGTATTATGATAGTGTGAAATTGCTTTCAGTGAGGTAATTCCGATTTGTTTTTATTGTTTATTATATCAGGCGCCATGGCAATTGCGGCAAACACCATGGCCATTGAAAAAAGTTTTCGTATGAATCCGTTGGCCGGTGTTGCGTTGAGCGTAGGCCCTGAAGCAGCTATGCGGCCCCGTTATGATCAGCCATTAAGAATGAATTGACAACCAATGAATGCAAGTTCGGCACCGTCTGTGTATAGCAATTCTGTCGTCTCACTGCCATATATATTCAGTAATAATAGTAATAATAATACGTCTTCTGCTACCGTGTTTCTCGATCGTAGAAACTTCAACGGCTCCATGTAAATTTCAACAAAAAACCAACTAAATATTTTTTTTTTCCCCAAGAAGATATTTTTTGTTTGAAATTAATTTCAGTTTCCATTCATCGAGCTATTAAGTTAAAAAAAAAACTCGGTATTTAATTAATTTTCATTCAACACCAAATTCTAATTGGCCGAAGCTTGTTTTTCTTTATTTTCATTAACAAATGTTATTTTTTTTTATTATTATTTTATAAAACTTTGTTATTATTTTTTAAAGTCTTATTTATTTAAGTTTTTGGACATGTATTAATATGAGCATTTTGTTTTAAGTATATTTATCTGTGCACGATTGTTAAATTTAAAAAAAAACAAAAAACGTGTGTTGTGCACATATTTTCTACGTTTGATCAGCTCAATTTTTATTAATCTGTTTGTATCGCAAATGTGCTTTAAGGAAAAACAATAAACTAATGCTTTTCGTTTTTGACCTTAACCATTTTTACATTATAAACTATAAATAGACATATGTTAGATTGTTATTTTTCTTTTATTTATTACTTTATGTTTGTAATAAAAATATATGTGACTAAATTGATATGCATGTTTAATATAATAACATTTATATATTGCTATTATTCAAAGAGTATATTTTAGATGTGGCTAGTCAAAGCACACATAAACTAATCAGTATGAAAGAAATAATTACCAGTAATACAAGTTGTTATTTGAACAGTTTATTGTGTTTTTTTTTTTAATCTTTATTTACTCAATGCATTTGTTATTCTTGCGATAATAATGCTTGTCCCGTGTCGTCCATAAAAAATAAATATATCTTTTTACTCAATTCGGGCCCGACGCGGCGAGTAGCAACTAATGGACCATAACCGCGGCGTACCTTAAACAAATTATTTAAAAACATTTTTGTAGCTAAAATTGCAATAGAATTTTTTTGTTAAATCTTACTTACGGGAATGTCCTGAAGCAAAAGTTCTCCCTCCATTCTTGAACTGCATTTTTCATACGCCTGAAATTTTTTGCATACCTAATTAAGCGAACGTCAATAATTTTACAAGTATTATGCGAGTATGGAATGTGTGTGATACGCTCAGTGTTAAAAAATGTTGCCATACGTTTTATGACATGGACATTCCCAATCAGTCATACATTTTTAAAGGGACGTTTAGTAATATTAATCGTCATTGCAAATAAATGGATATATTTTCTCGTTACCTCTAACAACAATGTAGGTGTTTTGTAGACAGTTGCAATAGCTTCGCTCGCTTCGAGTGAACACAGTGGAAACTGAGATAATTGTTGTCGCCATAGTTGATTTAAACCAGTGCCGTTTTTATCAACAGATACGCAGTTTTTAGAATGTCCGGTTGCGTACCATTCACAACCTTCTAGTTCTTCATTGAATTTATTCACCCTTCATAAATAAGTTAACATAATATAATGTTGAAATGACAGTTATAAAAAAAGAACACAAAAAATATTACTTGAATGGTTTTTGAGCAACAGCCTTAGTGAAATTAACAATAGTCGATCCAATTTCGTTTTTAGTCTCAACGAGACGAAATGTGACACTACAACTCAACATCATTTTCTGGAGACCAATCAACATAACTGATCTACAAAAAAAGGGTTATTTCATATTTAAGCTGGTAAAAAATGTATGGGTAATTAATCGTCATACTTGGTGAAAGTTCCTTTTTTACGGGATTTACATTTTCTAAAATCATAGCCGTTAAAACCATATAATTAGTAAATGAGTCAATGAATTTCAAAAATGTATATTATTACTTGAATTCCTCAGCAGAACCATATACTATAAGAGAAATATGATTTCTATACATCTTTAAATTGTTTATACTTTCTATTAATCGATCGGATGATATCAAGTCCTTGATGCGATCAAAATCCCAAATCAATAGCATAAAATTTTCATTCTCGTCGACATTGTCAGACTATAAAATTTAAAATATTGGTTTGACTTACTTTAGTCAATTTTAAATTAGAGTGACTGTAGAATCATGTATATTATTAAAACCCAAATGCATAAATTTTTTTTTATTTTACACATTCTGGTGTTTGCGCTGAAGATGGCAACACAATTGCTAAAATACACATATTTGTATAAGAGTGAAAACATTTTGTGCAAAGGGTATTTAATAATATTGTGTTAAATTTTTTTTTTTTTTTAATATAAATAATTTTTATTAGTTTTTATTCGTAGTATATATTTTACTTTAACTAGTTAAATTTTACTGTAAATCTGATTGCATCAATATTCGAAAAATAAAATAAGTATGCTTACAATATTTCTTGACCACGTTACAGAATATGAAGCATTTGGGTTTAGTTCACATTTATATTTTGATTCCATAGATTGTAAATCAATCAATATTTGTTGGCCAAATTCACAGTTTTGAAGATTTGTATCTATATGTACCGTTATATACTAAACAAAGAAAAATTAATTATTTATGTCCCGGGGTGGACTGGACTGAGTTTATTATACTCGGGTTTTTTTAAGTGTTTGGGACACAATAAGCGAACAGTTTACACCAGTCCGATTCCGTTGAGGTCACTGACTTATAGAAAATCGTACAATTCACAACACCTACTTTTATACACTCTGTTGGTTTAATGCGTTTCAACGCCTCGGTTATTTTTTTCTTTTCATTTTTCCTAGACAATTCTTCTTGCTTTTTTTTTTCTTGTTCGTCTTTGGTCAGACGTCTTTTTTTTGGTATTTCCTATATTTAACAAAATAAAAAAAATTACTAATTTAACAATAATTAACTAAAGTTAACAATAATAAAAAATTGTATTATTTTTTTTTAGTTACCAATATATTATGTATGGCAAGTATATCTGACGCTTGTACATCATTTGATTCAATATTTTTTCTTTTTCTCTACATAAGATAAAAAATATGTACTTCTTGTTAAGCGGTTACTAAATTTAAAACTTACTTGTTTGGTACCTTTAACATTTATATTCGGTTCTAGATGATCTACGATCATACATACATCATCATCGTCACTGTAATTTGGTGGTGGAGGAGTTTCAGAAATCGGTAGATTTTTTTTATGGTGAAAATTTAATTCTGGCGAAACGGATATTAAGTGCTTTTGCTAAAACAAAATGTTAAGATTAAAAACATAATAGCAATTACAAGTAATTTATCATCTGCAACTGTATTGTATCTGCAATTTTTTTTTTTTAGGTCCTATTATTTTGTAGCATAAAATCTTAACATGTTAATTATTAAAAAAAAATCAACTAGCCTTTTAAATAAGTGCAATTATACCAGTGGTGACGATTCTCACGTTAAGGGGTCGTTACTTTTGCTATTTTACCTTATTTATAATTTAACACCTAACTTTTTCTCATCATCTTTTTCTATTTTATGTCTCTTTTTATGCAATCTTTCCATCACAAACGTATCTTACCAGTGGGTAAGATAAAGTTTTAATCAGCGACACCTCTTTTCTCTTTATATGCCCAGACCACATTTATCTTCTCTCCAATATTAATATTTACAAGAAATAAAACATAACATACATTTTTTAAAACTTGGCGAAAGAATTCTGGTTCACCTGGAGACGATGGACTGTTGTCTAGCGTCGAATTATTTGGACCACTTTCGACAATGATAGAATCATTATCGGAATCTGATATTGTATAAATATTATGCTGGTTATTATCCATTTCATCAATAACTATAATTTGGTACTCAAAACAAAAAACCAAAACAAAATGTTGGAAACAGGAGAAAAAAAAAGTAGCATTCAAAAATTAATATAGTTTTGCAACGAATGACGTTAATATAAATTTAAAAAAAAATTATCAGTTATATGTTATCAATATCATATTATCACATTTAAGTATGCATGATAACAATTGATAGCGGTGAACAATTTTCGCGGTATTTTTTCAATTTGTTACCTGCCTTTCAACTGTTGATTGATTGTGTAACAAATGGATGTAAAATAATTTATTATTATTACCTGTTACCACATAAACGATTCTAAAAACGTATTCTATTCGTATATTTTTTAGCAGCTAAGCCTAAACGGCCCACCCACAAATATATTAATTAGTCTTGGTTACGTTGAGTATTTTGGAAAGAATGTTAGTATGTAAATCTTGAACAGATTTTTAAAACTATTTTCTATCAAAATAACGTATTTGCGCATTAACTATGCTTAAATATTGTGTATTTGTAATTAATGTATAAGCTAGTCAGTTGTGTTCAGTATGTTCAGTATTGTGTCAGTAATTATAAATTATGAGTATTTATCGGTCACAGTCTCTGAGGCTGTACAACACCAGTGGCGTAGACAGAAATTTTTTATGGGGGAGGGGAGGTTCATGGTTGGAAAAAAAAAACTCCTTAAATTAATTTCACTTATAACAAAATTTGTATTTTTCTTGGCTTACTTGCTAATTCATCCAATACTTTTTCAGGTATTGCAAAAAAAAAACACTAAGTTTATTTCACTTTTTAACACTTATAAGTTATAACAAAATATCTATTTTCATGACTTTTTGGCAAATTCATCTTGATAATAGATTAGAAGAACTAAGCCATTTAGACGATCCTGTTTAAAATAAGTTAGATGATTAAAATACAATTAAAAATTGTATATGATTACAATTTACCTCTTTCATAGTATTTCTAAGGTATGTTTTTACTCTTTGAACAATTGTAATTTTTATATTGATAACTGATATGTGATAACAATTAAAACAATTAACGGTATTATAAAATTTAAGTATTAAGCTAAATAAAGTGTAAGGGGGGAGGGGTTTGAATCCCTAACCCCCCGTGTCTACGCCACATTACAACACAAAGAGGTAATTATACATCATTAGCTTAACGCTTCTGGAAAATAAGTATTATCTACAGATAAAGCCTAAAGGTGTTTTGATAATTTTTTAATTAATTATTTAATGAATATGATATAATTATATAAGTACATACAAATTAATACTATCATTACGATTTATATAATCGATCAAATATTATGTAATAATATGTTTCTAGATAATATTATGCATAGTTACATACTTTAGTGTATAGATATTAAAAAATATACACTACATTACAATGTTTTATACATAATTTTGTAATAAACATTTTTTTTTATAATGTGCATTATGCATCCTTATACCTATGAAAAAACTATGAAGAAAATCGATTTAAACAATATAATAGGTAGTTAACATAATATGGTTAAAACCACAGATTTTATGAAATATAGTCTATGTTAAAACCAAAGTGAGTACTTTATAAATTCGCAGTGTTCAAAGCTTTATGTCGGTGTTGATTCTTATCAGAATTATTAACAAAAAAACTCAATCCAAATTCCAGACGGATGAAATAAACATGTGAACACGGGATAACCAGAAGGGAAACTTTAGAAAAATTACATTGGTGCTTTTGAGCCGCCGAACAAGGCAGACTGCCATATTGCTATCGCGGCTGGGAGCAAACTAATATTATAATGGATTTTATGTAATTCTTAGGAAAATCATAATAATTGAAGGGGTGTGTGGTCTTAACTGAATTTTTTTTTTTGTAAAATAGTTATAAAAATAGTGTGTTAGGATTAATGATTATATTATATTACACAATTTAGCAAAATATCATAACATCTGAATGTATGTTGAGCTTAAAAATGTTTAAATTTCCAAACATTTGAATATATACCTATTGACTAAAATGTTGTCTCCTGAACACTTTTGAAATTGTCACATTTGTCCACAGACCACTCGCAACCTTCAATATTATTGTACGTAATCCGCAAAAACAAAATGCCAGCACTTATCTGTCCCGGTCTGGGTTTCCCTTCTGGTTATTCTGTGATATATGATTATGATGATGTTAATTATTATACAATATGCTTTATGAAATATGAATTCACATTATGCAATGGTAACAATGCACCGTGTACGTCATACTAAGCTATTGTGATTCTATATAACACAAAATGTAACAAACAAACAAAATGTCCTTAATTTTAATGAGCATAATATGATTTTAAGTATAATAAATATCTGTAGGAAAGGTAGTTCTTAATATGTAATATTACAATTTTAAAAATAGTCACCTACCTATTGAAAATGTTTAAGTATAACATATAATTATTATATAAACAATACATAAAAAAAAGCTATTTTAAACCTCAAACATTTTATAATTAATATTTCACAAATTTTTTTTTTGTAACACGATAACTTACAAATAATATTTATAGACATTTGGAAATTTTGTTTTGCAACGAAGTTAAATAAATAATGGCTAAGCGATTTTTGAATAAATAATATCTAGGTATGATTTTGATTTATTTTATATTCCGGCACTTGACTTGTTTATCTATGAAACCGTTTTGTGCTATCAGCAGTCTTCAATATACAACACCATTTTAATAACTTTTTGTTTTGTAGTCATCTAAATCTGATTGCCACACATAATAAATTTAATGGGTTAACTTTGAATAAGTCTATCTGATGCATTTTTTTTTTTGCAGATAACCAGGTAAATATGTGTTTAATTAATAGTATCAAATTATTAATAATAGTATATTATGGTATTTAATGTTCCAACTGAACAATTGGAATTTGGAAATTTTATCAATATAATATATACTGTAAGAAACTCGACTATTATGCCATATTAGATAATTTCATTAACAATATAGGTGAACGTTGTTGCAAAGATTAAACCTACCTCTTATAATATTATCATCATAGTTTTATTTGACACTTGTTTTTACATCTAGCACTTATACTACTATTAACTATCGCTTTATTGATTGGTACAGAATATATATATATTTTTTTTATAGTAAATATAGTTGTATACACATTACACATCATTCATATTTTTATTAGAATACAACCTTTATGTAGAAAATTAGATAAAATTAGATAACTATTTTATTATAGAATGTGTAACATAATGTTTTTTTTTTCATAGATTTATAAACGTTATAAATTGTACGATTATAAAAGACACTTTTTCATAACAATTTTTGTGCGAGTTTGGCAGGTCTTATTGTATTCAATAGGTACACATAATATGATGCAAATAACTGTTTATTATTATAAAGTTATCAGATGATAGTGTTTGTTTGTATTTTTAAATGGTTAGATAAAATAATTATTAGTATAATTACTTTATTTTAAATTGTCAATATAAGTGAATAGACACATGATTATAATCTCAGTACAATTTTGAAGGTGAACGGCTTACATTCAGCTTGTATGCAACGGAGACAGCGGACTGTAGAAAAAACAAATTAAATTGAGCATGGCGACTAAAGAAAAGTATTTGATATTTTGTTTTCCAAAAGTAAAGAGATTGTAATTTTTAATTTTGACACCTGTTTCTAGTTTAAATTTTGATTCGGTACCATTAAATAAAGATGCAATAAATGAAGCACAACCACCAAATGATAAAATTGAACCTTTCAACTGGGCAGTGGTAAAATGTTTTGTTTGCATTAAAAAATAAATTATTTACAAAAATGAACCTGATGTCCTATAGTTTCTAGCGTGCGTGTCTGTATCCACGACCAACTTACATACAGGATTCGCGTTGGGATATTCTGCCATAGTCAGCGAACAACTCGAACGGTCACACGAAATGGGCATACTGGAAAAATCTACCTTGTCGTTGATTAGTAACTAATTGTTTTTTTTTATTTTAACAAACATTAACTAGTCGTACTCCTTATTTATATTTTTAGACATTTAAGTGGATTTATTGAATAAATGTATCATTTGAATTTTTAAAAAGCTACTTGAATCATTACATCATTACATTATTTTTGTATTATTAAAGCGAGCAGTGTCTCAATAGCAGCTCCTTTAGGTTGTTTGTTCATTGCCTATTCGTTGGATAAATTTGGCAGAATCGGCACGTTTAAAATGTCGTTGTGGCCTTGTTTCCTAGGTTGGTTATCGATCGGAATAGCCCAGAACACTAGCATGATTATTTTGGGCAGATTACTTACCGGATTTGCCATGTGTATGTATTTTTTTGTAGTAAATTTTAATTTAGTAAGTAATAAAAAAAAAAAAATTGTTACATCAATTTGATTGCAGCTGTCGGAACAAATTCAGCAAACGTTTACATGGCGGAAATTTCCACTCCAAAACTTAGAGGTTCCATGATGTCTATCGGTTCTGTTATGCTGTCATTTGGTAAATCCGGGTTTACACAGTTTAAGTGTATACATACATTTTTTATAAATTTGTTGATAATTAAATATATATATATATATATTTTTTTTTTTTAAGGTATTTTATTAATGTACACTGCTGGTATGTTCTTTCACTGGAGAGTCGTTGCTTGGATAGCGTTTGTCGGTGCTGTCATGCCTGTTTTTATGACAGCGTTTTGGACACCCGAAAGTCCACTTTGGCTTATTTTCAACGAGAAAGAATCCAAGGCAATGCGGTCTTTGCAATATTTTACATCAAAATCGAACAGTGTAAGTTTTAACTATGATTGTTTGACTCTATTTATAAATACTATATGTTAAAAAAAAAGTTAGGTTTATTTTTAAAACTAGAACAAACTTGAGCAACACTTGTTGACAAACTGAGTCTATTGTAAGCGCAGATGATAGTAACATTGCTGTCTAAATACGTGTAGTATAATCTAAAGTATATTATTATTTTTGTGATTAGGGGTTTTATAAATATTTCATCATTTTACTTCTCTACTATATTTATAAACTTAATAATATATTTGTTTTTAATGTACCTATATTATAAAAGTTAATAAATTTTGTTTTTTATAGGAATGCGTCGGCAACGCTAAATTAGAAGATATCAAAAAGCTCAAAGAAAAAAAAGTTTTTTTGCTCAGTCAACAAGTCAACGGTAATTGGTTTAAACGTGCCATCTGGCATTTGTCTAAACCAACTGGTTACAAACCTGTGATTCTGATGACAATATTTTTCCTACTACAACAGTTTACCGGAATTTATACGTTGCAATTTTACGCTGTCAATATGTTAAGTGTAAGTATGATTTATTAGAATCAGACTAAAAATCGTAAGTCTTATTTATACATTTTCTAATAGAATATCGCAAAAGAAATTGACATTAAACTGGCAACTATTATTTTCGGAACCGTAAGGTTAATTTTGAGTTTTATGGCGACCGGTGTGCTACATAAATACGGTAGGCGTCCTTTATGTATGAACTCTGCAATCGTCATGGGGCTCTCGTTGTTTGTTTCGGGATTATGTCTTTATTTAAGAAAGAGCGGTCAGTATTTGTGTGCAACATTTTTAAGCGGATTATACAAAAAGCAATTTGTGTTTTTTTTTTTTGTAGGCGTAGAAAATGTTGTAATTGTCTGGTTGCCATTCATTTGCATGTTGTTGTATATTTCGGCCGGTTCCATGGGACTAATGTTGATCCCTTGGATGATGCCCAGTGAAATGTTTCCGACTGAAGTAAAGGGTTTGTTTATAGGCCCAATAATGGGTTGGTGCAATGCGGTCATGTTTGCCGCAGTCTATTCGTATAAGTATCTGTTGGACGCGCTGGGCATGAGCAACGTGCTATGGCTTTACAGTAGTGTATCCTTATTGACGGCTGTATTTGTTTGGGTGTTTGTACCCGAGACGCACGGGAAAAAATTGTGTGAAATTGAGGAATATTTCAAAGACAACACTATTTATTTGTTAAAAAATAAAAAGACCATTATTGTTTCCAAAAGCCCGGCAGTATAATACTTGTTTGTTATTATGACTATAAAATATGATAATTATTATCTCTGATTATATAGTTATATATATATTAGAATACATTATTGATCTAAGTTTAAATTATTAATTAAGTTGTATGTTGTTAAATTACTGGTTAGTCAATTGTATACTTTATTTTTCTACTCTACCAGTTGAGTTATTCTGTGATAAGCTGCCATGATTTCAGAAATAATTTTTATATTTATACTTAAATGTTAACTTGTGTATTAAGTTATCAATTACTTGATAAATTACTTAGACAAAATGTGAAACTAATGTATTCAAAAAAATGTTGGGTTATTGTTTTTTGTATACCAAAATATTAATGAAACAAACATTAACTTATGAAGAACTGTGTTAATGAATATTTTTTTATGATTTAGTGCTAAATTCTATTTATATTAAATGTAATTTAATAATTTTTTCGTTTTTTTCCCCTATACTTACTATATTTTTATATTACCTATTTGACTAGCAGAACCTAATTTTAAATATTTTCCATTTTATAGTAGATTAAGATATAAGTACAAGGTAGATAGTGATTATGGCTCAGATGTTCATGAAATGCGTTCGGTGAGTCAACAGACTTATCGGAATATTTATTATTTTTTTAACGGTTTTCTGTCCACGTAACAACGAATTATTTTTAAATATTGTGATGACTAATATATTGTTTAAAAAAAAAAGATAACTTAGCCAATTTATAGTAAAATAGCTGTAATGATAATAATACGCGTTTAAATATGATGCGTTTTTAATAGCCCAATATAGACCAGCAATTTGTGACCAGTAGGTTTTGAAATTTTTGCCTTTAATTTGAAACCATAGATTAAATATATTGTCACAAATTACCGAGTTATTTTAATTATTTTTTTACATCTTTGTGTAAAGCTAGCAATTTGTATCAAACGTTTAATATTATGTAACCAATGAAGAACCTAACACATAATTATTTTCAATTTTAATATTGGTCCAAAGAAACCAGACAGAATAAAAATATGAAGTACTTTTAAAATGTCAATAATTTTAAAAAATATTTCCTAACAAGTTTTTTATCGGGAGTTTTAAAAATATTATCTACAAAATATGTTCGTTATTAAAATCGTATAAATAAAACATTATGGACAAGACAATATTCTAACATTTTGTAGCTTGTAAGAACATTTTTGAAACATGTTGAAACTCCGACTGTTGGAACTTGGATTGTTACATGTTAAACAATTGATCGACTAAGAGTATTCCTAAGTTGTAAGACTTACAAATGTAGATCTTGCAAGACCTGTTTGGTGTTAACATTATGAACCTACTCGTTTTTTTTTTAATGAATGAACGAGACCAACCAATAAGTGTACATTCTATTTTATTATTTGTTAACATTATGTTGTTTTCAATGAAAGCATGTAGGACACTTACCTAATACATTCTCTGTGGCGGCGAGCGGTACAATGTACAAATTGTACAAATATTATTCGAGTAATGTTATATTTAATTTATTCAGTATTATTAGAAAATTACCGAATTACTAAGTACGCATAAATATTTTTTCTGAAGTAAGATATAAAATATTTGTAGATTTATTAGTAAAAAAAAACATATTATTCCACTTTGAAACGAAGACAATGGTATCAAAAATAAAATCTCAAACAATGTATAAACTCCTGATTAACTGTAGTCTACATTACTACAAAAAACTTAAGTTAACAAATGTATACGTATATTATTAACACAATAATATCGGTATTCCTAGGTATACACTTTAATATTTATATTATAACATCCCCGGCTCTATTTTAAACATGTTGGATGGTGGTGTTAAGTGTTAACTTAAATTAAACAATATACATATTTATAATTAAACAACTAAACTATGTTAAACTTAAAATTATAGTTTTTTTTTTTTTAGAGTATACCTAGATAATACTTAATTATACATTACAATAAAATGGACCTATAAGTAAAAACATTGTACGCAATGTAGTTATATATATAATAACATATATGTGTAATACATACATTTATATATATATATATTTTTAATTTATTATTAATTTCATAACGGTTTATCGACTCTGGTAGTTGGTTTTTCGTTAGTAGTAGTATTTTTGTTCTGGACAATTTTACCAGTAGACAACAGAGTTATGTCACCGTGACTGTTGAAAACGAACAGGGACGAATATCTAGGAGCGCTTTCAACCACATCTTCGTACTTGGGCGGTGATTCCAAGATCTAAAAAGCAATACAATAACATTACTGTGTATCCCATTATCTATAAATATAATTAAAAAATTGAGCGACCAGGAAAAATCCCAGGTGTAATATGTATAGTTTATTATATTTATACATTTTCGTTATATTTAAATTTTCAACAATTCTACAACTAGATTGTAATTTGTACTTCAACAAATGTGAATATTACAATTTGTTATTTCCTCTAAATATTGAGTATTTATATACTACATATATAGTGACGGCCCAAGTTATATACAGTAGCGGTATCTCAAGTATTTATAAGCTTTTGTTAGTTAAAAAACAATTCTATTAGCTTAAATTTTGACTCGGACAACTTAAGGTGAAAACTAAAAAAGTTTTAAAAATTATTTTTACCGTTAATGGAATAATAATGTTTAAATTAATATGTTTTCACTGAATCCGAATGCGGACTCAAATTTTGTTCCAGAATTTTTAGTTATTTACAAAATTGTCTCCAAAGTTCCAACTTACAAAAAAAAATTCCTAATTTTTATTTGTGTTAAAAGAAATTCTAAATCAATTCTGAAAAAATTGAAATGTTTTAAAGTTTCTTGCTCTATTTTTTTTAGATTTTACTGTATTTGAATTAAATTTTAGAAAAATTGTTCAAACATGTTGTAAAACACGCTAAAGAGACCACAAACGGTGTTTTTTTTACAATTATTTAGGTGATTTAAAAAATAACAAGACGTGTTAAAGAAAGTCTGAGACAGCCTTAGTTTAAACCAATAAAAAAAAAACCCCTAAAAAAATTATATATTATTTATTTGAAGCGGTATAAGGTTACTTAACTACTTTAAAGTTGTAATTTTATTAGTATTACATCAATCACTGATATTAATCTGCGTTTCAAGCAGATTTATCTCGTTTTTTTTTTTTGTCAATTTATTGATTATCCTAAATTAACAATACACCGTGGTTATACATTTAATGTATCTAATTAAATTACACGCTGTTTCGGTAAAAGTAAATTATTTTAATACATTATACCTACATATTTTCGCCTCTAAATGCGGAGAAGTATGTTTTGCCATAGCTGAAAATAATTAAAATCCTCGAATAATCCCTGTCCCTTTGAGCTAAAGTTTAACAGACTCATGAGTTACATAGTATTATAATGAAAAAATTTAATTAATTGAATGCACAATACATAATTTCCTCGCGAACTTTTGTCATTTCCTGGTAAGTAATAATTAACAATTGACGGCAAATTATGATATTTACATAGTATTTTTTTGGGCATTACAGTTTTCCGCCAAAGTCACCCTCGACCGTTATCGCCATGACCGTTTGCCGCCAAAATAAATACAAATTTGTTACTTAATATTTTTTGAGCACCCCTGAACCTAATTTATAAAATTGTAATTTTTTTAGTCTTCTAAATTTAATTTTGACATTAAAATAATTAATTAACTAAAAATAGTTTTAAAACTGTGCAACGATCGATGCCTTGAAAATGTTATGAAGAATTAATAAAAAAAAATCGATCATATTACATGCGTTATAAAAATTAAAAAAAAAAATTAAATACTAAAATAGATACTTCTTTTCTATGGTAATGTATATATTTAAAAAATGTTTGCTGAATGTCAAAAATTGCCTATACAATGCGCCTTAATAAATGCTAGTGTAGAGGCTCCTTAATACATATTGCGGGTCTAAATAAAAAAAATAATACTGTGCCTAATATTTACAGAAAGAACCTAACCAGACTAGGAGATTTCTAGACTCAGCATTTAAACTTAATCAGCATGCGTCTTAAAATTTACACTTTAAGAGAGCTACAGACTCGGGTTAGCTACGTACGGATTTTTAAATTTTATAAACTCCACCATCTAAATTGTTTAAGATAAAATTTTGAATTACTAAGCCCACATCGCAACTTAAAATTTGTACGTTGGCCATTTGAAAGTACTGGGAATACAGATTTCGCTCAACTCTATTCACCATCGCCCAGTATCCACTGTGCTGTAGTACAGTGGCCCTGCTTATATATTGAAAATAAGATCCCACCTTAATTTTACTGATAACATGAACATTAATTGCATCTGAACTTACGGCGGTACGTCTCCTTTCTTTGCGTTTTTCCAAAATTTTCATAAACATAATGGTCGGACTTATGATTAACATGATCAGAGCAATGGCAATCATTATAATCCCGGCCACGATGGCCGGCGTCCCGTTGTTGTTGAACGCCTTGGTGTCTTGATCGTCCGTAGATGCTGTGTTGTTCCCAAACGAATTTCCATCATTGTTCTGATGCTGGGACGAAGTTTGCACCTGGTTGAGTCCTTTGCGCAAGAGCATCACGCTCACTGTGCACCAGGCAATCACCTGCGATGCCATGACCAAATACTTGGCCGCCACATTTCCATTGAACGGCATCACACTTCTTTGATACCGCCATCAAAGTCCCTGACGAAGCATACGATTTCAATAAGTACACGTTAAAAGGATATTTACAGAAGGATATCAGTCCAAAGTGTTTAATGTATCAAATCCCTTATTCGTCTTAACGTTTTTAAGGGATGCACCAGTTTGGTTCAGAAAAAATACGTCATTCTAAATTATTTAATGCAATAAAACAATTTTTTTTTATTGTGGATTATCCTGTTATGGCTCTATGCGTCTCATATATTACTATCTATTTATTACATTATACTTTATGACGGGAGGAAGGGCAGAGTGTAGTATTAATTTTATCTGTGCGCATTACTCAACCGCACTCCAACTCCCGTTCTAAATTTTACCAATTTTAATAACTTTTTAAAAGTAATGACTCAAAACTGGTTGTAGACCTAACAAAGTGTTCAGTAAATGATTGTTAATTTAAAAATATAATTCAACGTATATGTGACCACGTAGGTTTCAAAAGTTACTCTCCCTAATTATGTCTTATAACTAAAAAAAAAAAAACTAAATTATTATTGATTGATAGAAATCAATATCATAAGCATGGGTGCTTTTTTTTCAAAATTGTAGTATATCATAAAAAAATCAGGTTAACAAGAAATTACGAATCCTGTCTATATATATATATCCTGTATATAATAATGATCATAAAAAAAAGGTATTATTCATTTATTATAATAGTATGTATTAGGTCCTAACCGGAGGTATATACATGTGCATGTTTTTATTGAATGGTTAAAAAAAAAATTGGGAGCGTTATAAAAACATTGGATTCCTTTGATTATAATTTATAAGGCATAATCTTAAACATTTTCTATTTAAACTATTATCAAATTATTTTTTTGTAATTTCGTGTACCAAAAAGTGCTAATAAGTGATAATACCAATATAAAACGGAACATTTTTTCAGAGCTTGAAATCGGTTAACATCCAAACGGAAATTAAAACGCTGTAAAAAAATATTTGAAAAGAAAATGTATGTTTAGTTTTTTTAGAGTACCTCGGTAGGTATACACTTCCGGGCCCTACGAAGTACAAATAAGTATATACCTATTTTTAAAAAAATCGAATCAATGGGTATGCATTGTACAGGTAGAGTCTTATTCTGTATAATAAAAATTAATAGGTAACAAAATAATCTTGACGGAAACGACCGTCACAGTCACCGCTGCCATCGTGATCGACATAGTAATAATTTCTACATTATTGAACCAGCCGTTTAAATCTCACTCACGTTCCCGTCTATTCGTTTATTCGTCACAATAATAATATCATTTTAATATGTAGGTGCATACATTTATAGTAGACAGTATTGTTAAAGACTCAATGCCGCAGGTATTACTAATAATATGATGATGTCCTTCGCGTTCATAATAAAACAGTGCTTATGTATGACTAGATTCGGTTAATGAGATTGGTACTATCACTATATTTGAATTTTGATCCATTGTAAGACAAACCGTGAGCCGCACACCTACATACTAACACACATTACACTGAGACCTAAGTAAACATTGCCAACGCGCGTGCATTGACTATGACAGATGATGACTTTTAGGAGTTCCGCACTCTTCTAGCTTCCATATGTCTAGAGTGCCTACAGCTGGTCCATGGACTATAATAAGAAAATATATTGTCTGTTCTCAAACTTTATCGGCTATCACAAGCGGTACGATGGGAGAAACCGGTTCCAAACTCTTTGGACAAAATCAAAATAATGTCATTGGCGTGCGCAAATTAAGGTTAAGGTCAAATGGCGTTCACGGGTCATTCGATAAGACATATTTTAACCATCCGTGTTCGTCAAAGAATAAGGACGAGATAGATTATTATAAGACCGAGTTAAGTGGAGTAATTTATTGTAAACAAACGAGGCAAACGTAAATTCGTTTTTTTATTTCATCAAAACGATCTATTTTTTTTTTTTTTACTGAATCCGAGCATGTTGGGGCTGGCAAGTCTTATGAGTTATCGGTTATGAAATCACTTTCAAATAAACGCTTTAAACGTTTTGACTTCGTAAAATTGTCTACAATTCAAATACAATTTTTAGAACTAGAACAAATTTATATTAACTTTGATGAAGCCTAATTTCAAAAATGATCGGATGAAATATTTACACGTTAATTCGTCTGTACTTTACCTATGGAAATTGAACAAGTCCGATAAGCCAAACAACTAATTTTTGTAATAGTAATTATTATACAAAAATTACTGACAAAGAAATTAAATACCAACAAAAATCGCAATAGTGAAATCAACAGATACCTTTACAATTTTTAAGAAAATGTTATGATTAGTTATTTTTTAGTTTTTCCTGAACACAAATGAAGTTTGACTACATATTTAAATTAAAAAAAAAATGTTTATTTCATAGACCTCTACTAGATCTTCCTTCAATCAAAATCGTCGACCTTAAGTCCTAAAACTAGCGATATAAAGATCTTTAACTCTTCAGAGGGAAATAGTTATTGACAATTCTTGTGTTTTCACTAGGGCCGATGGGGTGTTACCGGTATTTCAAAATACTGATAAACCGTATTTTTCGGTAATTACTGACAATTCGATAAATACTGAAAACCCGGTAATTACCTTTATGATTATTAAAAGTTAATTTAATAATATGCAAGTTTTACTTCCACAAGATCATAGGCGCAATTTCAATTTTTAACTTGGGGGGCTGGAAATTTTTTTTAAATATATATATATATAAGTAAATATATTTTTGTATTTCAAAATTGTATGCATAACCTAATTTTTTTTTAGCCCCCCGTATTTGCGCCTATGCACAAGATATAATAATACATTATATAATTATAAATTATTCAAGGACATTTTTTTTTAAACAACAACTGACAATTTGTATAATTTTTTATTAATTTTAGATAAATTACTAATCAGATTAATTAGTATATATTAAAAAATCCAAAAATCGTGTTGTACAATTTTTCTTATGACACATTACAACAATATGACAGAATTAAACAATTACATTTACGGCAATATTGATGGTAATCCCGTTGTTTATTCGTTCCAATTGATCTTCATCGCCGTTGTGTTGCTTTTTGCCTTATTCGGATTATGATGGAAATAAAATCTTTCTTTTTAATCCTATATTAGGAAGTATACTTCATTCGGAATAAGAAAGTATATTCAGTCCCACCCCCCCAAACGTCGCCATAGTCATGCACCATCGGGTAGTGGTGGTGTTTTTTGTAAATCAACGAGCAACCAGTTTGTTAGTTGAATGAACTACTTACTTATGAAACATCATACGATTTTCAGGTGGTGTAGTAAAGTCCACAGTGCACTCTTGTGTAAGAGTCCCCACTTTTTTTATTTACCACATATTGTGATGCGTATAAAAATATAACCCTTAACAAAAATTCGTCACAATGTATTTTAATTTTTTTTTTTTTGATAACATAAAGGATGGATGTACTTGAGAATACGTGCATGCTCGGCCTCTAAATTGAAAATATTTGAATATAATATTCAGTCGAGGCAACAATAACGTGGCATTGGAAAACTAAGCTATTGTAATACTAACATTGTATAATATGTTGCGTATATAGATAGAGTTACATTTTACTAAAATGTAACGAATTATTTAATTTCATTATTATTATTGTAATTGTTTGCAAAAGTGTTTTCCGTACTATTTTTTATATTATAATTAAGTTTATACATTTCTGAGAATTCCTACCCTCCCCCTGCTGCCCCCCACCATTTTTTTGGTTTAGATTTTATATGCCTATTTTAATATCAACAAGAACGTATTTATCATATTATAATGGTCAGCTATGTCGGTTTTAGTTAGAATTAATGGCAATTCGTTATAGAATGTTTAATTAACGGTTAACCAATTAAGAGGCCTAAAACGTCTTCTTGATATAACAAGGCTCAATCACGTGTAATAATTACTGATCATATTGCACCGAACAATAACTATAATTAAAGTAATTTTTTTCAATCGATTGTTTTTGTACTAATAATTAATATAAACTATAAACTCATCATATTCAAGATACAAATAACTATATAACATGTACTCGCAATAAAATTAAATACTTTATTTGTGTACAATTATTGCACTTGAGTTCATGCAAGTCATCTTAAATATTAATTGAAATCCGGCGTTCACCAATGATGCGACATTACTCGTTATTCATAATTGTTAGGCTCATTACACCGATATTCATAATATTGTATTTGTATTTGAGATACAATATAATCTTTTTTCTTCGTTGAAATTATTGCGATATTTACCTTTTATCGTGCACCTTTCACCTCTAAGCGTCGTATAGAGAACAAACGATTGTTACAGTTCAAACTTTAAATAATATAGTACCATTTAGAAATAAAAAATAAAATAGTTGTTATTTTTATGTTTTTAGAATGATTCATTTTTCCCGTTGTGTCCTGTATGCATTGTAACTTTGAAATTACTGGACTGATTTACTCAAGAAGCGTATCACTCGATCATAAATCATGCATAAGTAGTACCTACTACCAACCTTGAGAGTTGAAGGGTCAAAAATGAATGTAATAATAACCACTAAAAAACAAATTTTCCTTGTTTTTCATCTGCTCAATTTGAACTTTGTAACTTAATAAGGTAATAATTGAATCACGCATTTTTAAAATCACGAATTAAGAACGTTTAACCAATAACGATGAAATCAAATTAGTCTCACATGAGAGGTAAAGTTTTTTTGTTGTACAATTTTAGATTCGGTGCGTGGAGCTGAGAAGGATTTGAAAAATAATTTCATAAGAACTCGGAAAACAGTATTTAGAATAATTTAATAAGGCGTAACATATAGGCAATTTTTTTTTTTAAAACCAAGCTTTAGTAGATGTTGCCATGTTAAGTGGACGCTACCCAGCCCATTTTTAAGGAGTAAAGTCTAATAGATCTTATCTCATAAAATCTTAATTTACAGCTTGAACTATAGTGTATACTTATTAATACAGTAATGAGGATACTTTTATTCCTATAGGATATATAACAATTGTTTTCAAGTATTTGAGGCCAGTATTAACAGTAGATTTACCAAATTTACACAATGTAAACTTTATCTATGTGGTAGGGTTTTTATTTTTTTGTCATCTATATTTAATATTTTTTTTATAGACTAATGAAAAATACCTTCTCGCTTTGCATCGAAGCTAAAAAATGGGGAGAGAAATTTTCACAAATGAATAATTTTCATTGTGCTTAATGTTATCAAAAAATTAAAAAGCACTACCTCGTAGATAAAGTTTTTCTCAATCCACTGTAAAAATTGTATACGGTTACAGTTAATACTGCCCTCACATTCTTGTACCCTACAAAACAATTTTTTGCGGATAAATTACCGATGGGTAGCGTCCTCTTAATAATAATAGAGGTTAATTATTACTATAACAGCATCAAAATGCAATTTATCATACTATTTTTTACTGTTTAGTGATGATTTTAATTTTTACACTTTTCGGTCATGTAACATTACAATGTTGTGATTCCAGTTCAATAAAGTAGTACGAGTTTCTGGGCCTCTTTATTAAACACTATATAGATGTGTTGTTGGAACCAGATTTTCATAAAAAAAACAAACTAGTTTCTAGCTATTAAATATAACAAATGACAAACAATGTAAACATATTTTTTTAAAACGTAATTTTTTACCGCCAAAATAAAAAACCGTAATCAGTTGGAAACCTTTTTTAAGTATAATCGTGGCTTTGGAAAATGTTTGCGTCGAACATCCAAGTTTAATTTACTTCTTAATACATTTCAGATGGTTTGCCATGCGTTCATTTACCGAAAAACAAAATGTTTTTATTAGACTTGGATAAGATGTCCTTAAAATTAACAACTGCACCAGAAGAGACTTTGTTCGCAGAAACCGGCAACAAAAATGTTCAATTGATTGAGCCAATTAAACAGTTTTCATCTTATCGACGGTCAATTGATTCGCGACGTTGTTGTAGTAATTCTTATGTTTTGCCAAACACGCACACGATCTTAAATATAGTCTCGACGACAACAACAACGTTAAAATTCATTGAAAAAATTATGTCTTTGTGTTATGTGTACGCGAAGAGCTTACAAATCTAACATCAATAATATTGTATACCGAGTACTGTGTAATATACTTACTGCCATTATCCGATTGCTGGAGGCGCATGTGACCGGCCCGTGTCACAAATCCCTTGTTCGTACCGATTTTGGCCACAATTTTTTTTTTATCATTCGTGAGACTCTTTTTTTTTACTGTTTCACCACCGCCGGTTCGGCATCTACTGATAATATATTTTTAATACTGTTTTTGTTTATTAGCTAACGAAACGAATGTGTTTTTGACCGCGCCGACTCGACGCTGAAATAATGATGATAATAACAATAATAATTGATAATATTATAGATAGACACAGCATACACCACACGACCGCAGTGGCCGTGAATCACTGAACGGCACACGACCGATTCAACGTACACATTTTGAACGATTCACCTTCTTGCGGTGGCGTTCGTTCGCGCAAACAGCCGTATATACACAGCTATGTGACCAGCAGAACTAACGACTGCACATAGTGGCACAACGCTGTATAGGAACCGCCTGCAGTAGATCAGTGATAATAATAATATTATACTGTCTTAATAAAAAAAATATACATATGCTTAGTGCTCAAACACACTTTGTCCAAGCCCAGTAAATTATTATCAGTGTGAGTCGATTGATTACATCGTGTGTGAATTTGTTATTTTTTTATAGATTCACCGAGAGGCATAGAGAATTAAATATAGTCATCTAGAACCTAGATGACTATTATCTAAATTCTAGATAATAATACATTTTAATTGAATATTATCCAAACCGTGTAATTGATGATGCGATACCGATAGAAATGTCTGGCTACTTAGATATTTTAAAGCATACTGTGTATACATTTGTCATTTAAATTATTATTTTAAAGGACGCATTAATAATCATTACAGTTTCATACAATTAAATATATCAAACAATTTGTAAATTAACTTACAAATATATACATACATACACAGTACAGTAAATATATATTGTCATAATAAGGAAAAATGTTAATTAAAAATTAAAAATTAAATAAAATAATAATACATTATTCATTTAGATAGGACAACAGATGTGTTTCCTAAATCTTATCTTGATAACTGATAAGATACATTATATTTTTTTTATTAAATATTTGTTTATTAATTTATATGTGCTGTAAAAACCTTTTAGTCGGCGGTAAATCAAGAGTAACTATTTAAAATTGTAAAAAAATCCCCCCTCCTTCAAAACTGCCAATGTTGTTCTAACCGTTATTGCTGGTATTTATACAATAATAATAATCTGTATAGAGTATATTATTATAATTTATACTATAACAATGGCTAATTATTATTGTTCTTATTAGTCAAAACAAATTCTGGGCCTCCTTACATAAATTCCCATCCAGAGCCAATACCTCCCTTCTCTTGCTCCCGCTCCAATATGCTTACTCATATGTTATTCATCACTAATTCATATAATTATAACACTTTACAACAAACAGTACAAAATTCTTAAAGCCAAAGCTAAAAATCAGCCGTTTTTAACAAAGCCTTGCCATTAACAACAATAATTACTAATTTGATCAGGAAATGTTAGGAAATGTTTTAAACATTTATTTATTTTGTCATATACTTTATTTTTTATCGACAAAGTATTAAAAAAATATAGGAACAAAAACAATAACTACTGTAGGAGAGTTATAATTACATTTACTCGTATATTACATTTTTACTCGAAAAACGAGTCTAAGGACTTGGGTGCAATCGTTCTAAAGTCTTAACTATCAAGGGATTAAATATGATATTTTAAGTTAACAATTATACATACTAGTGACTCTGGTCGGTATGCTGGTAGTCAATGTTGAAATTGGCCTCATAGTAACTGTTCGTTTAATAAATAATATTGTTTCCTTAAAGTCGTTTATAATGCAACTCATATGTCATTCGTGTAGCATATGCAACATAGCTAATAAACTCGGATTTTAAAAACGGACGTTCGTCAAACCCAGTTGTTTTATAATTATGCATTCATAAACACAGTAACCTGTTACAGTAACTTGTTCAATAAAAATTTTTTTAGCTAAAAAAAAAAAATTCAAAATAAAATCTTTATAACTATTAAATGAACAAAATTAGTATATCATTTTTGAGGTCAAATATTGTTTTAAGGGTAGTTTTAGAGGTTAATTCTAATTTATTAGTAGTCAAATAACAACCCACCTTATAGGAGTTCAAATATAGGTTGCAAATAGTTTATGGCCAACATGAAACGAACCGGATTAGTATTTTTAAGTAGTAACTAATAAGACAATTTGATTAAAAAAATAATCCCTTAGATATTTTTTACAATCTAAAAATATGAATCAAAATGAAGCCCGAAAAATAAAAACGCTTAAATTTATATATATGGCCATAGATAACTGTTGGAGTATTCTGTGATATTATTTTCTGATTTCATTAGACCCGTATAAGTAATCGTATTAATTCATTTTAACGTTTAAAATGTTTCTTGACTTAAGCATCGATGACCATCAACCTAAAAAAACATTATGTAGCAGTTTTCTTTTTAGTAGGATATTTCAGTTTTATTTTTCGCAAGGTCGTATCTGTCATAAAACTACTTAAAAAATGAACACTAGTAAAAAGTACACTATAAAGGATTCGTTAAAAAAAAAGCCAATATTAGGTATGAGACCGTTCTGGGTTTTGAGTCTTATTATGAACTATGAAAATTATAAAAAAAAAAATTCCTGTTACCTTTTTACGCTTAAACATGTATTATTTCCCCTGCGCAGCACTGGTTGGGTGGTGTGTTGTAAAGCAGAGATTGTAAACATTTACAAGAACTGTATGATTTTTGGATCAGTCTTTCTACAACCAGATTTGACCTGGTAAGTAATAAACCAATGTAAATTTAAATCTAACTATGAAAATAAATAAATACTACCATGCCGTTAGGTACTCGAAAGTTAATACGTTTTTATTTACTATAGAAAACATTTTTAAATTAATATGTGTTAATTGAAATTGTTGTACAAATTGTATTGAAAATGGTATCAACCTTGAACACTATTATAATAGAATTTTAATATCCGTGTTTTTGGTTTTTTTTCAATGGCAAGGATGGTCTCTATAAGGTTGTAACGGTCAATAAAATATAATATTTCATACACAGATCATTGGACTTGCATAGGACTTATGTATGCGTTCTCTTCGGAACCGATGGAATGTCGAAGGAGGAGCCGCAAGCCGCCGAAACGTGTCATGTATGGTGAGATATATAAATCAAAATAATGATAGCATATTTAGAGAAAAAAAAACGATGTTGCGATAATAATTATAATAATTGTTGCTGTTACTATTTAATTACACCTGTAGATTACTTACAGGAATGTTGATTTCCCGAACACACGTGTTACAAATTATATTTTACATTATAATTTTGAAGTGAAACCAAGAAAAAAAAATGCTAGTTGTATGCCTGTGACGCTTTTTATAAACATTATTTTTTTTATTGCATTCTTGAAATTCAAATTTTGTATTCAACACCAGTATAAATGTGAATGAAATATTAAATCGATTATCAATTGTAAGATCAATTTCATAAGGTAGATAATAATTTGTCGTTTTATAATAATATTCTCATTTCGTAATCAATGTTATATAATATATTTAATAAAAATGTTCCATTTCATACACAGAACAAGTGTTTTTTTTTTATTAAATAAATATAAACTTTCAATTATAAAAGTTTTGATTAGATCAAAGGTCTAATTTTACTACTTAAAAAAATTCCTTAGGCAAAATTAAAAATTAATATTGTATAAATTAAATCAACCCATTAAATGGTAATAAATTAGGCAAATTTATGAAGTTTTCGATAAAAAGAAATGTACCTAGAAAAATTGTTATTCGTCTCCTGAAAAAAACCAAAATTTAATATTGGGACCTTGTTCTAATAAGTGTCTCCTCAATTTTATAATTTTTTTCAATTCTCGAAAGAGTTGTTAAATTTATATAAAAATTCACTTCATAGTTTTCGGTACAACATTCTACAAAAAAAAAAAAAAAGTACGGAGGGTAGAAGGTAACTTGTAAGCAATGCGGAATGTTAGCACGTTCACTGTCCTAATGTTAAATTAAATCAAAAGTTATTAGTCCTATGATCCATATATGGGTCACGTTAAACCTTTTTGAGTAGTCCATGATCCACATATGGTTCATTTCAAACATTTATTTCTCCGGAGATTTATTTGTATGGACTATATTCTATGAAATTCATAATAACACAGTTGGACAGGTGAGATGATAGGGACTTAATTAATTAATAAATTAGGGACTTATCTATAAATAAATCATGAACCACATAGGGGTCATCGGACAGTGAACGGTTTAGGGTAGGTCCTTTACCGAGATGTCCGTTTGTATTACACATTGTAATACTTTGTCACTGCACTGATCTGTTTTAAAATAATAATATAGTTGGTTTGATGTTTCAGCGGGCCGTTATTGTCGATGGTTCCGGCTGTGGCATGCTATATTATGATTCGGCATAGCTGTTGTAATCGACCGGCGCGGTGGCCGCCGTCGCCAATAATACAAAACCCTCTCGACAGTCTCGAGTACAGCGGCCGTAAATGCGCGCGCTACTTCCCTGCTGTGACACCGGCGAGGAGGGGCAAGAGATACGAGTAAACAATATTATAATCGCGTTATCACTTACCGTAATACGATTGTTGTTATTTTTAATTTTACCGGTACGCGATGTTGGTTTTTGTTTTATTCGTATTATTACAATTAATATCGGATAATTTTACAAGTCATAAACGTTATTTTTGATAATAATTTTCCTAACCTAACCTAACCGGCGGTGTCGTTTCGGTCAAAGTACACGCCAACAATTTTATAATAATTGTTTTTGACAATATTATTCGAACAATCTCGGCGGAGCCAGCATCGGGACAAAGACTTTAGGGCCAGTGAAAACAGACGCCGCCCGCCCGCTACCGTGGCCGCCGCCGCAATCGTCGTTGTCGTCGTCGTCCTAGCCGCCGTCGCCGCCGCAACCCGTGTTTAGTGTTGGAATTGCCGCCCCGGCGCGAGCAAACGGTACCCGAACCCACACCGATCAAAGGCGGAGATACGGCAGACGGCAGCGCGGACACCGGAGAGGCGGCGGCGCTGCGACTCGCAAACCAAAACAAACGCACACGCTTGTTTTTGTTTTCACAACGTACGCCAGCAGCAGCAGCAGCAGCACCAGCCACCACCACCACCACCGGCACCACTATCGACAAACGTTCATCATCATCACACAAGTACGTGTTAGCATTTTAATTTGTTCAAAAATGTTTTTAATCGGTTAACCGTGTACTTAATTATACTGCGAGACTTGCGCCATAATATTTTATAATTGTACAAAAATAATCTCTGTGGCTGCGATGGAACGACGCGTTTTGGTTTTTGTCCGCGACGACGATTAAAAAAAAAAAAAAAACAAACCGACAGTAATAATAATTTTGAAAATAACGCCAATTATTCAGTTACGTTTAGTTTTACACCATCATAATTATTCTAGTTTTATCGCCGGGTCGTTTCTTATTCTTTACCGTTTTTTTGTTAACGTTCAAAATTTTAACGAGATAACATTGTTATCAATCGTGTCGACCTAGTCCTGTGCGTTATAGCTGTGATGTGTATGCAGCAAAGAAATAGGTACAATTTTTTTTTACTGAATGCTGTATCAATTTGGTTTTTTTTCAACTTTTAAATGGTTTTATAAAATTCCAAGCTTAATTTTTGTTGTTACGGGTTATTGATCAAAATAATTATAATGACGTGTTGTGCAATGACACTGACTAAAAATACATTATTAAATTAATAATAATTGGCCAGATAAAAGCCTGGCCCGAGCCAACAACTAAAAAAATATATGCGGAATGTCGTCAATAAAATATCTTTAATGGATATGCATTGTTAAAATGTATTTTGTATTTATCGGTGGTGCATATTTTGTTACTGATTTTTCACCTCGAGCGAACACGGGTTCAACTTACGTATAATAATTAACAATACGTGTGTCTTTTATTAAGATAATAATAATCTCTCAGATATAAGCCAAGAATTACATTGTTAAGCCTATTATGTATAACGCTTATATGTTAATCCACGGAAACCCGACGATAAGACGTTCGGTGGAAACTGGGAAACTGATATTTAGCTGTTTATTTAACAAGAGTTTCTCTGTGCCTTTAACATATTGTTTATCTTTTGACACATTTTTTTCCCCTGTATTTTAATACCGAGTATCACGTTACTTACTACGAGGAAGCCGTAGTATTATTCACGATTTATGCTAATTAAAATTATAAATATATGTTTATAATATGTTATAATATAATATTTCTACACTTGTTAAAGAAAAATCGGCGAAAGCGGTTAGTAACGTCAAATTATCAGCTGTCAAGACGTTAAAACGCAGACGCTTTTCTTTAAAAATAAAAATAAATTGCTATTGATTAAGGTTTGTTTTGATTATATTCTATTATAACTGAGTATAAAAACCAAACGTATAAACTATTATATTTTATACAAGTTTAAAATTATTGCTGTAGAACTGTTTTATCGGTAATTTTTTTTTCCAATATTCAGCGGCTATATTGTAACATTAATATATTTTTCTTTTTTATTGTGTAACACTAAATTTAAAAACCCAAATTTTAATATTAAAATACAATAATTAACGTGGACATCTTATACTAGGTTTCAATACGTGTCACATATTACCCACCGAACTAGGTAAAACTGTGTATAGGTACAACGTGTATCTGATCATAATATAACTTACTATACGTCGTACAATGAGTATTATAAATTGTAAGAGACTACATAAATAACTTGTTTGACAGTCGAGTTGTTCGTTAATGTCTGGTACGGTAAATGATTAAATAATCGATTTTTTTTCAACTGATTAAAAAAAGAACTGATAACGTACCTGAAACGGAAGCGTACCATGTTCGCAGGATATTCAATTTCAAGTTATCTTGTTTGTTCGGCAAACGTGCGGAATGTGTACAGCTTTTTGTATTGGATGTAAGATGTTGATTTTAAGTTTTTTTTCCTATCTAAATATGAATTTATTGAAGAAAAAAAAAATTAGTAATAACTACGTGCGACACTATTCGATTTCGGCGCCAAGCCAACATTTAAAAGCTTTGAAGCGCTGCTGAAATAATTATTATCAAACACATTAGTTTAACCCTTTCAGTGCCAAGTGTTGAAATTTGCAAAAAAAATATTCAAAAAAAAACATTTGTTGGATAAAATAATATCCGATTGTTTAGAAAAACCTGTTGCAAATTTCCAACACTTGGCACCAAACGGTGCAGCAACAAATGTATTTTTGATGTCGGCTAAATTGGCTAAACGTTAGAAAATATTTATCACGTCGTATATCAAAATACCAAAGGCTGAATTTTCACTCGGTGGCGTGTATGAAATAATATAAAATTGTAATAATATCCAATAATAACATTATTATAAAATGTTTTGCTGTGTTGTCGCTCAACGTTGTTCTAATCTGTTCTTTGATATTGTTTTTCACGAAAAGCCCAATTCAACCACATCCTCAGATACGATTATCGTTGTACAGTTATAATTAGCAATCGGAATTGTATGCAAATGCACTACAATTGTGCTACATATAGTGTCAATAGACCTAGTAGTAACTAGTAACAGCGGTCTAACATACACTAGAATGCATTAAAAAACAGCTGCTTTCATATAAATATGTGTACAATACATATGTTCCACAATCCCCGTGGTACTCCCAAGTAATTTAAAACTTGATTTAAATGCAAACAAATATTAGTCAACATTTTTAACTAAAATACAAAATGCAGAAATAAAGTGTTAACAATTAAATGCTTTAGTTTCAATTATTTTGAGCGCCGTGGAACTTTTAGACTTACTAATGTAATAAATAATGTTTGATTCACCAATTAAATATCAGAATGATCTAACGAAAATTATGAGTAGTTCAACTACTGTAGTTTATAACCAGTTTTGAATAAGCAATTGTTGGGTTATTAGTGTTTAAAGCCTATAGGTATAAGCGAAAAGAGTGATGTTTTTTTATTTGCCTGCACTTGCCACTTCGCCCATAAATATAAATGCCAATTATTGAATTCAAAAGTTAATATTCTAAATAAATGATCGACCAAGCATTATTTGTGTTATGGGGCATCCCACTTTAATAAAGTAATTTGTATAAGTATATTACTAGAGTTACACCCAAAAACCACCCTCAAACAAATATTTTTGCCTTTCATGATTTCAATTTATTTTAATAATTTAGTATAATAGATATTATCTAAGACTTTTTAGCAAAAACAATTATTTCATAGAAATATATACCGTACCATAAATTTCTGAAGATTTTATAAGTCTGTATGTATTAAAAAAAGTTGACATCGGCCATTAAAATAATAATGATGTTATTTAAAATAAAATATAGCGTAAGAATTTATGATTAAGTGTAAAATAAAAAGATTTTGCTAGATCAAGTAAAAAATGGATTTCAAGCCTAAATGAGGAACTTTTTTTTAAACTATAAACAAATTACACTTTCTAAGAAAATAAAAAATTCAACCAAACCATGTAGTTTGTGTATTTTAAGGGGTGTTTAAATATCGAATTTAGAGGTGCTTAAGTCTCTCTTAAATCTCTAGTTACGCCCATGTTAATAACTATATTATAGCCTTTCCAAAAAAACACGTTTTGGGGCCACATGCATAGAATACCTAAAATAGAGAACCAGAATTCTTCCCGGCCAGGATCTACATAATATAAAAGTTTGTTGACATTTACAGTTTTTAATTATTTTCATTAAAATACATAGTTATAACGCCAGCCTTTTATTTATGTAGATAAATTTTAATTGTTTTCTATTCTAATCTTTATGTGGAATTAAAAAATAAAGAATTAAGAAACTATTTTAAAAAAATGCACTCATCTGCAGTTTACCATAGTAAAACCAGTAACGTATTAAGGTTAAGTTATGAAAACGGGTCAAATTTCTAAATGAATTTGTGCCAATATGTTTCCGTTCTAGGTATTGTTCAACAATTATTGTATTTTCTTCATAGGGAATTGGGTATAGTTTTCAAAATTACAAAGTTTTTGGTTTTTTTTTACGATTCCACGGGTCTTTTGCTTAGAACATTTTCATTTTTCACATTCAAGTCGCGCAACTGTTAATCTTTCATCATATTTTTGTACCTCGAACCGTGATGCTTTTATTAACTTTTTCTAAGTGTATCCGGCATTGCTGTCAGGGCGATTTGTTTCTGCTGTTTACCGTGCAACACGTCGTAAAAGCCACACACTCAGAATGTGGTAAACGTTTAAATGTTTAACGATCGCCTCGTCCGCGCTTTGTTTCAATTTATATTACAAGATTACTATATCACTATATTATTATTGAACGAGTTGTTTAGAAAATATGCTGTAGTTAGCAGACCAGCAACGATTTGTGGAAATGAGTGTTGGACGTTGCATTAAGATGCCGAAAGTAAAATTTATAGCTTCTTTTTTATATAATGTAAGAGTATTAAAAAAAAAAAGTGTTATTTCCGTTTTGTAAATTGCTTGCAATTAGGAAAGCCATTTGAAAATAAATTTACTTGCTACTCTGAGGCCAGATTTGGATTAAGCGAAAAAAAGTCGTTTACAAAAGAATCAGTCATTTTGAAAAGGCCATATCTCTACATTTTTGTGAAATTTGTTTTTTCAACAAAAGTGCTCTGTCTAGGTGAATAATATAGAGCATGTTATTATGGTTGTCCCTATGAGACAGCCATATTATGTCTTCGAGATTTTCAAAAACGAGTGCATTCAAAAAGGCCGTTTCTCTAAAAATAACCAGGTTTGTATGTCGAAGAAAATAATGAATTATTGCTAAATACTGTTAAAAATAAACAATTTTTATACTTTTTGATACAATGACGTTGATAATGTTAAACATTTGTGATTTATGGATGTATGGCCTTTCCGATATGAATGATTTAAGTATTTTGGTCTTATCACAAAATCGCGCCGAACAGTATTATTGGAGACGTTAATTATTTTGTTCTTTTACTCATTTAATCCTAATTTATTAGGATTAAATCAGTGTTTATCCTATTTTATTTTCTGTTTCTGTTGCTAAAATATAAGTGATTAATGATAGCGAGCTTTTGATCTTGATTGTTTAATTATGTAATTACGCTTATAACCTATTATATCTATAGTGGACTGATATAGGGATAGTGTATTTTATTGATATTCAATTGAGTAATTACTTTGGAGTTTGGTTATTAAAATGAGATTATTTGATTTTATTTGATTTCCGCTATAAATTCTATCGAAAATACCTTATCGATTCAAACAGACTAGCACGATAAGATTTTAGCACATTGTAGTTGAAGCGAATAATATTCTGTTCAGAAAACGCTTTGATTTAAATTCGAAAATAGTTTTATTAAATTGTAATAGTCAAAGGTTAATTTGATTAACTTAAAACAATATTTCGAATAGTATTGATTTGTACTATTGTATTATTATTTATATTATTCAATTTTCAGATATGGAAATACAATTATTTTTCTTCTCCTGCGCCTTCGTCCCAATTATTATTTGGGGCTGAAGACTTTTGTCCTTAACTTCCATAAACTTCATTATCTTTTGTCCTAAACATCCTGTCCTAACTTCATTATCGCGTACACCAGCAGTCCTCCTCATATCAAACTTAACCACATCCAATCATCTTTTATCGGTCTCACCACACCCTTTTAGAACCTAATTTTTTAGTCTCATTGGAATTCTCTTGTCACATAAAACACCTGAAGCTTCTTTTTACTTGATCATCCACCGCGCAGATCCTATGTTTCACGTCCTCCGTTAAACGCCACCGTTCACTTATCAAATTGCGTTGTTAAACAAGAATATACTTATAATAATTAACAACAGTTACATCTCATCGTAGTATCGCACAACACCTTTTGATCGCAGATAAAATATGGTATTTACTATTTACACATAAACAGCTATAGTGGAATGAATTCCGTGTATTCTTGTTGTGTACACGTGGGGGTATTATTAATACTATGATTAGTATTATTATTTTTTTAATTATACTTTATCACATAACCACCCCCGCCGCATGTTCTAATATCAACTTTTTTTTTTGTTATCGGCTTATCCGTTGTGAGATAGAATCTTAGAAAATTATAGTGTTACATATTATTATTAATATTGTTGTTGATTAACGATCAATCAACCCACGTGCATCGTGCACCAGTAGAATGCGCCGTGATCGTGATCCAAAACAGTATATACTATAATGTTTAATAATAATATTATTACATATACGTCGCGTACCTAGAGGAGGAATCCCGACTAATTATTATTGTCAGATAGATTTTAACGATCGACGTATTTTAATAATAATGCAATTGGTATGCCGACAAGCATATATTATCGCGTCTTTCGTGTGTTGTCTTTTTCGAGTAAACACATATCTTTAAGCGGTAAAGCGCACGCCTTCGCGACGACTAAGTAGGTATTTTTTTTTTACTGATTTATGCATGGTTCGGAACTAGCAGTAGGTATAACATATGACAAATTAAAGAAAATCTAAAACGAAAATCATTTCCAGAAAATCTAGATATCCAAAAAGTGTATGTCGTAATAAGTCATTCGTGTGAACATTTTATGATATTTTTAAATATTTAAGACGTATCCAGTTTTAGATACTGTATCGGTGATTGCGGAATCTCTGTTTGGGTATTTTCAATTTTCAGTGCATTTTGTTCGTTCAAAAAATGACTTGTGTATTCTATTTGAAGTCATAACTTGTTTTTCAACAACCCTAGCCATAATTTAATCTAAAATAAAAAAAATAATTTAAATTAATTTGTTATTTTTGTTTTAAATTACAAAATTAAACATTAGTTCAACAATTATTTCAATGAATGTATTATAATGTGATATTATGTAGTTAATTAAATACATTTAAATACTTAAAATATTATCTGGATCATTCAAAATATATATTGTCAAATATTAGTCTTCTAAATGAACATAATTTCATTACTAGTTATTGGAATTACTTTTTCAAGAAATATTGTCTAATTTTTAAAAATAAAATTATGTCAATATTAAAAAGTCGATTACTTTAAATAGATAAATAACTAGGCATAACTCTTAAGGGTCATTTTTTTTAGAAAACAATTTTTGTTTCAATTTAAGTTATTTTTGATATATTGTCGATTGAATATTTATTTAAACAGTAATTATGTTGTTAGTTTATTTAAATCATATTATTTGTGATAAATCATTTTTATTCAAACAAAACGTTATATTAAAAACCTTACCTAACCTAATCGTTTTGCACTAGTTGTTGTTATTCTTGTTTTAGTTAAATTTTACTCGACCCAAATGTTTGGTATGTGCTATCTAAACCCAAAAAAGTATGGTTTAAACGAAAAACACACATACTAGTCACCCGTTAGTTTAACTTTGAATAATTAATTTTTTTGGAATTTTTCTGTGGGACCAACAAGAAGGTCCCCGGTTGTGTTTGTTGGACCTTGCAAGCATACCAAGACAGCAAAAATTATTTCAATTATTTCCTCGTGTGCCTATATTATTGACGTGTCCGTCTTATTGTTATTATACAACACATTCATTGCATGCATTCATCGCATTGCAGACATATTATGTTGTTTTTTTTATGCGTTCACTTTTGTTTTCTTTACGATGGCCGTCGTCGACGTTGTTGTTGTTGTTGTTGTATTGTAATATTTATTATCATCGAATTATACCGGTCGGAGGAAAGGACGAACAGAGAAGACGAATTGAAGAATGTTTGGGATGCCTTCGACGATGACGATCTGGGAAAGAAAGCCGGTTCAGCGGACAAGTCACAAGAGTAAACTGCGCATACGTTAATCGAACGAGTCCCAGTTAAACAACAGCTCCTTTTCTAGCGGCAGTCTCATCAATGAAATAAATTACGTCGGCAAATAAACAACAACGATAACGCTGAATCTTTCCCTCCAATTGTTATCTCCAGCACGACGACGACGACCACGCCTCTTTTTAGTAAACTAAAAGCACAGATATATTATATTATAATAACCTAGATTGCCAAGACGTGTGCATGCCAATAAATGCCAAATGAAAGTTACCATTTTCCGCCATCATTGTGGGAATTATAGAACCTTATCACACGAAAATATGTCTGTATGTTAAGTTGATAACGCAGATATATGTATATAAAGCTTACCGCGGCTTAATCCAGTTGGATAAAGTGGTCTGTTTGGAACGACAAACATAAACTTAAGCATTTCGGATTGGGGGAGGTCACAGGTCTAAAGGAGTAAAATATGGTTAACAGTAAAATTATCTAAGCGTGTACTTGTTCTTGGATGATTTTTTTTTAAATTGATTTTGATATATTTCTACTGGCATTTTTGGCTCTGGAGATCGCGTCTATGCATTATCGGTTTATTAAATTATACTGTTTTATTAGTTGTTTTGTATTATTTATTACTATCTTATTTTTTTCGCATTCCTACTATAATTATCGTGTTATAAAAAGTTGTATTTTTTTATTGATAAAGATTTTCAATAAAAATTAATTAATGACGAAAATGTTCTCGGTTTAAATATTAATTATTTTAGCTATGCTGAAAAAGCATTGGTTTTTTAATGATGATTTATTACTGAAACAAGTAAAAATTAACTCAAATCCGCCACGCATTCATCTGACGTTCCACACTATAATTGCTGCGCATAACGCATTGTTTAGGGTGCGTTTTTTATTTACTATATTTTGCTTTTATTTTTAAATAAGAGGTGAATGTTATCTTAGCGCGGACAAGGTTTAAGGATAGGTACGTCTTGTGATCCAAATATTTTCGTTGACTCAGAGGAGTTATATGTTAAGCCACCGCTTGCTGTTTATATAGGTAGGTTCATCGTCGGTTCGCTGTGATATTATAATTATAGGTATAGTGATAAATCATGGAGTCGTGCAACGCCGTGCCAAGTCTAATGTTTCCCATTCACAGTGTATTAACCCGTTGACTTCATAATAATATTATTTTGCTTATGCAATGCATGCTTGCATATAATTAATAGAAATATGATGTGCGCCGATGACCGTCTTTTTTTTTTAATACATACATAACAGTATTATTATTTTAACTAGATTGAAACGCAATTACAATCATACAAAATTACCTATTCAGTTAATAGGCGGTCACGGTTTACTCATTTGAAGATAATTATTAAATAAAAGAACTTCCCTGCAAATCCCGAGGAGGGAGGGCAGACTATAGAGAATTGTTCGGCTAACTGGTCTCTGTTTCAAAATGCACATAGGCGCAACTAGAAAGGGTGCTAAGGGGACTTAAGCACCCCCAGACTCAAAATTAGCACTCCCAAAAATTCAAGCCCCAATACGCATAAAATATTAATCGTGTAAACAAATAGCCGTTTTGTACAGTTAACATAATGCCAAAATAATTAATGTAATGGGAATGAATCATTTTTTATTAGAAAATTTTTAAGTGGCTTTTGTTTAGTATTTTCTGTACGCTTACAATAACAATGTATATCATTATCATTTAGACACTATATGAGTAAAAGGTAAGCACTATAATCAGTAATCACACATTTAACAATAGGAACATGCATTAGTGAAAATTGTCAATATTATAACATTTTTTCTTACATTGATTACATGAATTTACTTGAATACATTTTGGCAACTGTTATGGTAAAATAAGCTTCATTTCAATCTAAAATATGTACTACACAAAGTGTGTTTTTATTTTCCTACCTATGACACATCTAATTTATTAAACATGTGCATATACATGTTTAGATAATGCTCGCATTATGAATAATGTTATCGTTATCTTGGCATTAATAAGATTTGTGTACTTTAAGAGAATTAAAATCGTTGTTAAATCAGGTCGATTATTGTAAACGAGTAGTTTGTCTACACTAAAATGATGTTGAAATACCTTAAGTATATATTTGTTTAATTTTTCAGAAATGACGGGACGGAAAACTGTAGTTATGGTAAGACATGGGATGAGCCAGTGGTCTGAAAATAACGTCTTCTGTGGATGGTACGATTCGGAGTTGTCCGAACAAGGTAATAAAACACACAAATTTAAATTAATGATAATAAAAAGTTTTTGCATATATTTTCTTAGCATTTGCCGAAAAAAAGTATTATAGGAAAATGCTAATATTTTTGTAGAAGATTACAAATCTTGTTGTACGGGTGTCAATCTTTTTATAGAGATTTACATGTCTGATATTTTGGGAAGGTTATTTTTTGTCAGAGTTTACCGTACCTCAAAATTGTACTCATAATCCTTGCGGCTTCTATGGTTGGGGATAATTATCATATGAAGAACGACTTTTTTTACTAAATTAGTTTGATTGTATACTTTTAAGGATGAACAATTAGGTATTAATTAATGAGACGGGTCGAGAGAATGTCAGATGAATGTGTACTATAATGAGTGATTAGGTTAGACAGAACTATTTGAATATGAGGTGAAATTTGGGAGCTACTCCGATAGCAGGAAAGTCAAGAGAAAATAGATTGAGATAGTTTGAGAACGTTAAAAGAAAGGAGGCAAGTGATATAGTATAACAAGATAGATAGGTCACAATGGAGTGATTTAGAGGTAGTAGTAGTGGGTTGATGTGTATTATGTTTATGTTGGGTGTTCGACGAGGCAAGTCAACTGAAGATGATATAAATGATCTGTGATTTTCCATTTTCTAGGATTGGAAGAAGCTCACGAGTGCGGTCGTTTGATGAAATCCGCGGGCTATAATTTCGACATTGTGTTCACATCTCTGTTAACTAGAGCTCACCAAACATTGGACGTGGTCGCCAAGTACTTAGGACAGCCCGATGTGCACGTAATAGAAACATGGAGACTGAACGAACGGCACTATGGCGCTTTGACCGGATACGTCAAAGGCCATCTGGTCGACATACACGGGGAACAACAGGTAATAACTATCCGTTGAGTTTATGTTTTTTACACGTATCCTTTTGTGAGCCGCCTTTTCCGTAGAAGGGCGCAGTTGTTTCTGAACCGTCCGAGAACCGAAGATGAAGTTCTTGGAAACCATCACTTGGCTTATGACTTTTCCATTTCGATTTCCTGTTAAAAGGTTGTAACGTGTAACTTAGTATACGATATTGTAGTACAAAAAATGCAAACGACTCGGTCTTCCAACAAGCTTATTTTTTAATTAAAACAGCTAGGCGACAATATCCTAATACGCGCATTTAAGTCAGCATATTTGCGATGACCAAATTCGGTACAGATGTAAAATAAACTAAGCAACCACACACCAGGGACCTCCTCCTAGTTAGTTATTTCTGTGTACTATTGAACACATTGTTTGATTGCAGGTGAAAATATGGAGACGGAGTTTCGACGTGATGCCACCACCGATGGATTCTGACCACAAGTATTACGATGCGGTCATGAACAACCCGAAACTCAAGAAGTACGCCAACGAGCATAACGTTAAGTTCCCTGTGACTGAATCGCTCAAAGAGACCATGGAGAGAGTGATACCGTTCTGGGAGCAGATGATTGCGCCTGCCGTGCGACAGGGACAAAGGGTATTGATCGTTGCTCACGGTACGGTGTTGCGAAGCCTCGTCAAGTATTTAGAAGGTACCGAGAGTTTGTTAAACGACTAAATATTCTCATATAAAAAATGTCATAGATAACACGCCGAGTTCAAGGGGTTTGACTTTCGGTATGTTTTATTATGATGCAATTAATGAAAAATATATAGTCGGGTCGGGGAGTTGACATCGGTCTGCAGGAGTTGTATGTATAAGTGATAACAATTAAAGTGAAAATCAATTAAATAAAAAAAATACTTTTAGGCAAAACCGTGTAAATGGTAAAAAATATATATTCAATGTAAATGACGAATGTAGATCATTTAGATAGACTTTAAAATATGTATTTACAATACGGTGCGCGAGATAATGGTCAATTTATGACGAAGATGAGTTTGCCACTGGACATGTAAACTAAAATTGTGTAAATTGTGTGAAAAATAGTACTTCAGCGAAAAAAATTGTAAAAGCTATAGAATTACAGAGCATATTTATACACTAGCATATTATTTATTAAGGCGCATTGTATTGGTAATTTTTGACTAAAACTTAACATAAAGCTAAAATTATTAAACATATATATTACCATAAAAAAAAGGATCTATTTTATTAATTAAGTTTTTGTTTTAATTTGTATAAAACGCACATAGAGTCTATTTTTGTACAAAAACATTTGTTTCCACTTCAAACGTACTTTTCCTAAGAATACTTCTATTTAAGTTATGACTAATTCTTCATACATTTCAAGACATCGATCGTGGCATAGTTTTAAAATTATTTTTTGTAAATTAATTATTTCAGTTTTGCATCGTAGCTAAAAGAAATAAAAATAATATAATTTTCAACTAAATATTGAACGCATTAAAAAAGTCGTTATTTTATAGACACACACTGAATCTTCATTCAGTCTCATTTTCAGACTTTTATTTTTTGTCAATTAATTAAGTTTAAAAAAAATTAAAAATTGTCTATTTTATTAAAAATATTTTAATCGTTTAACGTTTGTTTCGACGAAAGCAGACGTTAAGTTTTAGTCAAAAATTGCCTATACATTGCGCCTTAAAAAAATGCAAGTGTCCCTTTAATACAATCTACAAATTGTTGTATTTTTTACCGCTAATAGCAACGATAACGTGTTTTATTATTGTTTGTACAGGCATATCAAACGACGACATTTGCTCAATAAACATTCCATCTGGTATTCCATTCTTCTACAAGTTTGACGAGTACATGAAAGTGGTGTCGACCAAGGAATTTCTGGGAGATCCAAAGCGAGTGCAAGAGGGTATTGCCAGAGCCGCATCAATCGGTACCATAATACCACGTTGAACAACTGTCATTTTTTATGTACTCTAAATGTTCGGACTGTATTCGGATGTACTAAGCGTTTAAAAAATGACTATTTTGTGTGTTGTTTTATGTCTTGGCTCTTCCTATTTGTCCACCTCTTTCTCAACCCCCCCCCCCTTATTTTTTCTCCAACACTCGTCGTAAATTGTGTTTTATTTATTTTGTATAAGTTAATTTTTTTGATATTTATATATGTATAATGATTAATGAATAATGAACTATAATTTTTTTTTGTATTGAAAAACATATTATATTAGGTAACAATAATCAAAATATAAAATTAAAAATATTTGTAAGAGGCGATTAATTGATTCATAGGTACCCGTGTACATTTATAGTTTATTTCTAAATTAAGAAAAATGAATTTATCAAATGTTTGCATAGTACCAATGCCCAAAGGCAGTGGTATATTGGTAAATACATTTGTAGGTATACGCCTTTTTTAAACTATAATTACAACAAAAAAAAAATGTTCCGCTCTAATTTGAGATACATGCATTTACTTTTTCTCGCTCTACACAAACTCATAAATCCACATTTTCCTTTAATGTACTATAAAATGTTTTTTTTTAAAAATCTATAATCTTCTAAGTACTTTATACAGTATTGAATATACGCACATGTAAGTCAATATTTTAAATGTATTTAATTACCTTAACAATACTTTTTTTACTACGAAAAAGGAAATTCAATTTTTTTAATTTAAATTAATCATGGTGTTTATTTTGTATATGAACTAGTGTTAACTATTAAATTTATTAAAATGGTACAATTAATTTAATCACATAGGTAAAGTAAAAAATAATTTTTGAAACACAACAAGTTCAAGTATTGTTTACATTTTTTTAAATTTAAAACCAATACTCTACAACCTGGTTAAGTTAGGTTCGGTCATGGGCAAGAAGTTAGATGAGCAAAATTCGCTAATTCAAAAAAATACAATTTCGCATTTCCTGTGTTTTGATCGTCTAGGAGAATGAGGTTTTCGATTTTTAATCAAAAAGTATGTCATATTTTAGTTGTAATTATCTTACTTTTATCTTCCTAGTTGAAGTAGTGTCACTGGACACCTCCTTCTTTCACTTCGTCCTGCCACTGTAAAATATTCAACAAATTTACTCATTTTTTTTTAAATATTATTGATTGTAAACATATTTTTAAATAATAAAAATATATCTTATTAAAAATAGGATCGGCGCCACTTATATAGATAATTTACACCGAAATTTAAATTGCAGCCTGTACTAAAATGTCGTCACAGCAGAATTGTAATACTGTAAAAAAACAATTAATCAAACAAAAGACACATAGTGGTAAAAAGTAATCCGTTCCGAACACGTTTTGTTAATTTTAATGATAACGTGTAATAAGGTTTTTGTTATTGTCTACCGGCTACCCTATTAAGTCTTGATGTTCTTTTTTTTTACACGTTAATTGAAACGCCTTGACATTTTTGACAGATATGCAACACAACCAACAGCAGAGCGACCGCGCGCTCTGACGGACAGATAGCGCTGAACGTTTGAACTTTCCCGTGGACGGTCAACGGCCAACCGCGTTATCACCGCCGGACGTCGTGTAACGTAACACCGTTAGTATTTCACACTGTAAAACATCAACCAATGAAGAAGCCACGGGTATTGTACTTTGATAGTAAAATGTAATAATATACCTATATAGTATAAATTGTGATTGTATGTTATTTTACATTATTCTCGACGTGCTGCGATTGGTTTTTTTTAAACTTTGGTCAGTTATCTGTAGTTAGTCGGGCCGGCGGTTCGACGTTGTGCTTACTGCTTAACGTAAAGTTTATGTAATTTAAAAAAAAATAATAATATTGTTTTTAAAAAAAAATTGATGGCCGTTCGTGTTTTTGGCCGCCGTTATCGTTTCTGTTGTTTTGTGCTAAATTCGACACCTGTACTTTGATATTATCCACAAATATAAGTATTATTATAAATGCGTGCGGTCGACGCGGTTTTACTTGGTAATGGGACATTCGGAAAGCAAACCAGGTAATAACCACACTATTATTATTGATGATGGGTAAACATTATTTTTTTAAAAATCTGGCCCAACAACGTCGCGTTTGTATGGATTCAATCGAATGGCTAGGTTTTCTATCCGTGATAAATGTATATATTTAGATAAACTTTGTACATGACTCGTATTGACTGGCACGACGATGATGAGATTTTTTTATCGTTCTCAACATTAGCCGTTTGCCACTTGGGCTGCTAGCCAAAATGTTTGTACCTCCCTTCCCGGGCAAAAGGCCATCAAGCCAAATAATTGTGTATAAAACCCCGCTATGTATAAGTACTTATGTATACTTGGTTAAAACTAAATTATTGTTCTTAAATTACACTTTAGTAATAGGTATCATGTTTTTTCAATAATAAATTACTTAAATTGTTTTTCTATATTATGTCCGTTCATCGTTTGTCTTTTGGGTTTCAGTGATAACCTAATTGAGTTGTTCTCGTTTGAAAATAGTGAAAAAAACGACCTAAACTATTTTTCACTCGACTAATATAATAAGTTTACTTTTGTACAGAAAATTAATCCAATTTTTTATTATTGTTTGTATATTTTAATTGTTCTGAATAAAAAACAGACATTGAAAAACGTGAAAGTCGTTAGTCACTTTTTCCCCAAAATGGCGACGATTTTGTAGCATATTTTTATTATTTTTTCCTGCCAACGGGTATTACTCGAGTCGAGATATTTATTATTAAATATTTTTTTTCCCTTGTGATATTTTACTTCTTTTATCGATCATTAAAATTGACAAATATAATACTCTGTTGATTAAATTTTAATAATATGAACCCACAAAAAATGCTCGGTTGAACGACTGAAATTCGGCACGAATTTGATTTACCAAGGTTTTGTCGTGGTCTAAACAATAATAATTACAGTATTATAGTCTAAAAATATTTGAATATAATACTATTCAAAAAACGACATACTGGACCCATGACCTGACCGTGGCCTCTGCATTAGGTTTAAAGTTCTTCGGTGCCTATTACCGTTTAAATGTATTACAATTATATTATGTTAAATCAGTGCAATTTTTTTATTATATAGTATAAACAATTTTTTTTAAACTTTGCGATCACGTGGGGGTTAGGTTAAGGTACCGCAAACATGTGTCTTTGTGAACGTTTTATTTATGTATAATCTGACAAAATTTTAATTGTTTTGTATATTGACAACACCAGTTAACGTTGTTGTTAGCTGTGACTAACTAATGTTATCACTTATCACTAATCATTGCACATATGATGCTAATTGTATTGTGGTAAAATATTAGTTAATAATTACTTTACCAAGTATTACTTAATAATTAAATACTTTTTTTAGTTATTAAAAATATTTTTATTTAATATTTGTTATCGCCATTTTTGTACCTGTCCTAATCTTCTTACTTATAGACATTAAACAAAATAATTGTATGGAAAATATTAATAAAATAAAATTAACATTCTTTTAAGGTTATACATCCAAAATGACAACATTAGATATAATCTCATATCAACTTTATTGGACCTTCTCGCGTATAACTTTAATCTTAGTTTTTTTTGTGCCACGCTTATACTGTTCCAACTTTATGTTTACACAAATGAGTAGTTCATGTTCTTGTAACAAAGATGCCGCTAGGTGTTTTTTATTTTGTTCGTTTTTTATTATTATTCATATTATCATAATATTATAAAACATGTTTTTTTTAATGGTGTTGCCTACTAGCTGTAATGTAAAAATGTGGGACTTGAATTTTAAACCGTTTCTTTTAAACCTAAACTCTTAATGTTATACGAAACACATGAATGAAATACCACGTCGGACGTCCTAATTATGGGCAATTAAATTCCGTTTAAGGTACTACCCACCAAAATGGTCAAACGATTATTCATCTTAACGCTAGATAAATATACAATTATTTTTTTGAGTACAAAAAGATTCCAAAAGCGTTTTCCACGAATCATCCTGAATAATCTACTCAACATTTTCTACGCCTTCGCGATGACATTATTATTATTAGATGTGCCGGCCACCAACCGCAGCTCTACTTGATTCTTTTTAATTGTAATATTTCACCGCCACACACCTTGCAAGCATTACTGACTCACAATTTATAATCATATCATAGCTAAGCCCGTTTTGTGGCAGGAGCACTGCCCATCAGGTGTACATTTTTTAACACACTATCCGATTTATTAAAATAATTATACAATTGTTACTTACATTTCTTTTTAAATAGCCAAAATCTTTACATAACTACATGTAGTTAAGTTGGATACTTAATATTCGGCGATAACTACTGAATTAATCATACAAACCGTTCCTCGTTTATTCATTTTATGGGTTGTAAAAATAATTCAAATTAAATTTCAAAATATTGGCCGGTTACTAAATATGTACAGTCGCAGATGTTTGATACATCTCGTGTTATGATACTTTTTAGTAACAGCTTTCTTTGTTATTTACGACATTTATTTGATTTGTGTAAAATTTGATTTCTCAAGGAAAATTGGAAACGTATGAACCTCGGCTTTAATTTTTTAATATATCACCAATATCCCGGGGGGGGGGGGGCAAGTGCCCTTTGGTTACTCGTTATATTTTGTATTAATGAACTTTCGAGCAATTCAAGTCCACCCTCTCTTTTCCTTTTTTTTAGGTATGGTTCGATTTCACTATAATTTTACTAAGGCAATAAAGATGATTATAGATAATAATTTCAAATACACACTCGAGTTGTTATTATTGAAATATATATATATATAATATATCGCGTGAAAATCGTTTTCAAGACTAAAAATAATCGGAACCGGTTTTTTTTTTTTTGTAGACCGTCATAATCTTGAATCTTGTGTTTTGTTCGGTATACATACGACCTTGCACCAGTGCAATTATCACCAACGACACAATTATTATTATACAATTTTCCTTGCGTGTGTAATTTTCGTATCGCGTTCGATGTAAAAAAAAAAATAGTAATAATATCGTGGATCAAAATTCGTACTATGCTTCTTCTGTTTTTCAGCTACTAGTAGGAAATTTGTTTGATCAATAATTGTTTTATACATTATTATTTATTATTTCGATGGCCCCGCGAACCCGGAGCGGCGGCGTGACCACGGGATGTCTTCCATTCTCCAGCAACCGTTTGGTCAACGCTTTTGTAAGAAAAACCACCCGGGCCAAGTCCGTACTCTTGGCTGCTGCTGCTGCCGGTAAGTCTTAACTCAAATTACTACCTACTCGTGTATTATGCTGATTTAAATAATTCGACTGGCGCAGCTGCTGTCCATCTAACCGTTGCGGTCCGTTTAGCACATAAAAATCACCGGGCCCAAATGGCTATCGGTCGTGTTTGCTTTCATATTATTATTATACACACTATATTATAACGCCGAGAGCACTTGAACACGGCCGAAATGTCTGATTTACACGGTTGACCACAAACACAGCCACAGCAACAATAAGGTTATACGGCATTACACAGTCTGTGTGTATCGGTTGAGGCCACACGGAGTGGCGCGCGCCATTGTGTTCCAAGCAGTGCGGAGACTGGAGCAAGGCCCTACCGCGATAACGGCAATGAAAAAATAAATTGATCTTTTTTTTTTGGGAACTGGTCAACGCGGTCTGGTTTAATGTTAATAGCCGTGGCGATGGTCAGTTTTGGCGGACATCTGCCACTTTCTGCCCTCTAATAGGTCTCCAAAGTGGATGCAAAAATTAATTTTCGCAAACAATCCCCAAGCGGTTTCCACCAACGTGGATTCACTGGTGTATTAGTGATTCGCTGTGTACCCATAAACTTTTATGAGCTTTTTTTTATTGCAAAACCCGATTAGAGGTAGACACAATGGGCGAATGGTGCAAACCGCTCTCTCGCGTAGGAGTGCACATCCTTATCTAATAAAACGATTTTAACAGCCGGTCACTTTGTGGTCAGTTTTTCGGCCGGTATACAATATATTGCATATTGCGATAGTGCAATTTGGTAAAAGGTGCACATCTGTTTGCCCAAGTGGTCTTTATCCATTATTTCGTCAAAGTGGCGATATGCGCCAAATTTCCCCTTTGTTAAATTTAAAAAATAGATTGTATGTTGAAAATTTTAATTTTAAACGGTTTGCCATTTTTCCTTTGTGATCCTTTCTCGCGCATATGGTCATACGTGTATTATTAACGTATCTATTTCTATACTGTATTTCCGGGATAGCTATTTTTTATTTAAAATAAGTTTTAATTGTCGAAAACATTGTAGATAGCTTTTTTAAAACTTTTCCTGTTCTTTTTTGGCCATTAGCTTCTTATAATATTGTTTGGTTTTAAAAAATAATAATGCAGTTACATTTATTATAACAGCGGTTGTCCTTTCGATGGGAAATGTTTAGCAAAATATATTATGTAAAATTAAAGTACAGTCGAAAACTTTAAAGTTTGGCCGTTCATATCGGTAAAACGCATATACTCGTATGTGTGTCTTACATAAATAATTTGAATAAGTGTCCGCGTTTTAGTGATCGTTATAACTTATACAGCGTTGAGTTTTAATAATGTGGACTTATAAGGGAGTTCTGCGACGAATATAATTAGACACCGTTCGTTGACCGCTGTGTATTCATTGTTTGCAATGAGCATGGGATTTTGATTTTTTTAGTGTTTAAAATAGTCGGTTTTTTATTTCGCGTAACACGTCTATAACGATTTACCTGTTTCTAAATTTTAAAAAGCGATATTATTAAATTTATCTTCGGCCAGATCGTCAAAACCTTGTGCAAACTAAATATACTTTTTTGACAGAACACCGGTCTCGTCAGTTCTGTATAATTTTACGATAGGCATCAATTTTTTTTTTTTGTTTGAGTGGAATCTAGTTTGCAGCAGGCTTTTATCTTATAAATAAAATGCAAGCGGTGGTGCTCGGTCTGGCGGGCCAAAGGAAAAAACCAAATCCAGTTTAAAGCCGAGGGGGCCGTCGTGTGTGTACAGTCGT